GACTTCTGGATAGCACCCGAGGGGCCATATTCAAATGGTTCTGTGATAAAGAAAAGGCTAGGCCCTTAGGGCCTCTGGTCCAGGCAGCTACTGGGGATGAGGAAAGGGCTGACACCCCCCCCCATGACCCAAGGGCCCAAAGACCCAGCACAAAGGCAGCCCCACAGCTGGCCCTTGATGGCCCCAGCAACCCTCACACTATCTGCTAAGGGATGAGGGCCAGCATTGGGAAAGACCACCATGGTAGAGTCACAGCACCTGGATTCAAACCCTGTCTTTGATGTTTACTAGCTGCGTGACTTCAGTCACTTAATTTCACTGGGTCTCAGTCTTCTCCTCTGAGATGAGAGCCGGAATAGATGTCTCTAAGGCCCTTCCAGCCTTAGGCCTATGAGCCAGTTTGGGGCTAAAGTACAAGGCAAACCCTCCCCAGAGCTCTAATATCTGCAATGTACAGGCAGAGACCCTTATTTACATTTCATACAAACACCTGGGACCACCTCTCAAGCCTTGGAGGTTTCCACCCTCTCCCAGGCAGCCTTCTAAGCCACCCCCAAGGATCCCAGGGAGGTCAGCCTCATGCTGGCTCAAACCCCTCAGGGGCAGAAGGGCCAAACAAGAGCCAGGTTAGAATGGGATTGAGGAATATTTAACAAACAAAAATACAACAGAACATAGTTAGTGTTAATCTGTGGTTTTCTAGGTGGGAGATGTTCCACACCGGATGCTTTAAGGGATCCCCACTGGCTTTAACTACAAAGTCTTCCCCGTTAGAATGTGGGCCCTGGAAGAGCCTTCTATTTGTATCTTCAGGTAAGCACTGCATACAGTAAGAGTATTAGTAGATGCCTTTTCATTCATTTGTGGCTCTCCATAACCCAACACTCATCTCTCTCCAGTCTATTTCTCCCATTAGCCTCCATCCCCACATCACATACAGCATTGGGTCAGCCAGGACAACCCAATGCACCCTCACCTTCCCAGTCCTGTCCAAGCTCTACACACACACACACACACACACACACACACTCACTCTCTCTCTCACCATGCCCAGAACTCACCCCCTCCTCCCAGTCTCCTGCTACTGAGGCCCTGCTCCAGGCCACCTCCCCCACTGAAAGGGATCCAGCCTTTGCCCCATCACGTTCAGCCTCGGGGTTAACACTTATTGGCATGTGTTCTATCTCCATCCCCAAGAGGCTACCGCTTCAAATGAAGGATCATGCCCTTTTTCAGATCCCTGACCCACATGTGGTTTATCAATGTTTTAAAAGGAAATGAATTTGTTAAAGTGCTAACCATGGGCTTATCATAGAAGGGAAAACCCTGCATGGAACGCAAAGCGTTGGTGGCACTGCTGATCTCCTTGAAGATAACAAATGCTTGGCCCCTCATCTTCAGGCTCCTTGATACCAGGATGTCCAGAATCTGGCCAAACTGGGAGAAGATGGCATAGAGGGATTTCTTCAGTTCTGGGGAAAGAAGGCCCCGAGAAGGGGCTGTTAGAAAGGAGCTTCCCTCAGGGAGAAGACAAAGCCCCAGCCACCACACTCGCTGACCCAGGCCAAGGCACAGCCTTCATTCCTAGGCCTCAGACAGGCTGCCCCACGCAGGAGGGCCTCACAGACTCACCATCCTTCTTTATCTTCTCATTGAGGTTGTTGATGTAAATGGTGTGGTTGGGGCGTGACTCGGGCACTGCCATGACGGAATACTCTTGAGTTTGGCCTGAAAGAACAGTGGGCCCGGGTTAGTCTGGCTTGAGGCCTCCTTCAGCTGCTTCTTCCCAAGAATCCCAGGGCCACAGCCTAGGTCCAGGGCCAAGACAGCAAGAGCCCCTTCTTTGCTCTGACATCTCTGGTAAGAGAAGGCCTCATGAGGCAGCCCACTGGGCTCTGGGACATTTCTAAACATTCATAACTTGCTGTTTACAACTGGCCAAAGTCTGCCTCCCTACAACTTGTCACCCACCAGTTCTAGTCCTGCCTTCTAGACTCAAGCAGAGAAAAGTCTGACTCCTCTCCCCACCCTGACCTGTCTCCTGTGAACTTCTCAAGGAGAGTGGGGCAGTGGAGGGAAGGAAGAGACCCCACCAACCCACTCCTAGACACCTTCCTAGCAGCAAGATATAGACCCCACTCACACGGAGCAGCAAGGAAATGCTTATTGAATTGAATGGTAGCCCTACCATCTCATGGCTGGCCCTCACAAAGCAGGCTCTCAGTTTCATTCAATTAATGCTTGTTGGAAGCAAAGGATGTGGGAAAACCACAAATGCTACAAGGGGCCATGGCCAAGCCCCCTCCCAGACAGGAAAGAGTAAAAGAACTACAGGAGAGGAAGGTCGCTGGGCCTGGCACCGAGGCTCAAGGGGAAGCCTGGGGAAACTGAGTCCTGCCTGCCTCAGATGCCCTTGGCCAGTCCCATGAGCTCAGAGACACAAGCAAGTACATCTCTTAAGTCACAGATAAGCTGCTGATCTGGCTAACCTGAGGAAACTCCCACCCAGGCCAAACCAGAGGCCAAACCAAGCATGAACTTCTTTGGTCATAACAGGTTTATACGGATGGTGCTTTCAAATACGTTGTCATGTCCTCTCATCCCAACAACCCCGTGAGGTAAAGATGGATGCCATCGCACCCATTTCTTAGTTGAGGAAACAAACAAGCCCGAGGAGACCCACAGTCACACAGCTCAGTGATATTAAGATTCAAAGCTAGATGGTGAAGTGGATACAGCACCAGCCCCAGAGTCAGAAGGCCTTCAACTTCAAACACTTACTAACTGTGTGACCCTGGGCAACTCACTTAACCCTGATTTGACTCAATGTCTTCTCCCCCCCCCCAGGTTCAAAGCCAAGTGGTAACTCCAAGCCTAGGGCTCTTCCAATTACACAGGTGCCTCCAAGGCACATCAATACCTCTGCTCCAAAACCTTAATCCCTTGTTGCTTTCATGTGGCATTCTAGGCCTTCCAATATGGCCCAAATTCAAGTATCTCCTAATCTTCTTCACCCAGCCTGTGGTTCAGGCCAACATCCATTCCAATCACTCCAATCACCACTTATTTCAGCTTGCTATGTGTTGGACCTAGTTCAAATAGTCCCTGCTCTCAAAGAACTACTATTTTGATGAGGAGAAAATGGGACAAGCCCAGGCCAAGAAGCACATGCCAGGTAACCAGAGGAGTACAGTCTTCACAGGAGGCTGGGACAGCATTACAGCTGAGCCCTAAAAGGCACTCAAGAGCCTAGGAGGTGGAGTTAAGAAGGGAGCAAATTGCTGGCATGGGGCAAAGGTTAATACAATAACTCAGGCCGGTGGCAGCCGTTTGCATTAAGACAAGAGGAAGAGTGTGGAATATGCCGCAGAGTTACAATGGATGGGGCTTTACAACTGACAGGATACGGGGGGACGAAGGCAAATGAAGCGCTTAGGATGACTCCGAGGGGCCGACCCTGGACAATGACTGCGTGGCACTCTTTGCAAAACTAAAGAAAACCAATGACTTCAGGGAAGAAAGAGAACAAGTCCCATTCTGGATGCGGTGACTTGGCCGTGTGAAAGGGATGTACCCAAGAAGCAGTGCAGCTCTGTAAAGGAGGGCTGGACGTATAGACTGCACAAGAGTAAGGAGGCCAGGACAGTGTAGAGGTAAGGACAACAAAGCGGAGCAAACTGAGAAACGGTGGTGATGGCAAGCGCCAGAGGAGCGACACCAAGGAGACCAAGGGGAACAACGGATGTCGGAGGAGGTGTGGCGGGTGGGGTAAAAGGCATTCAACCCCGAGCCGAGATGGAAGGTGCCTCTTCCAAGGGGGCCCAGCGGAAAAATGTAGAAGGTATAAAACGTCCAATTGAACCTAGCCGGGACCCTTCCTTTAGAGGAGGAAAGTGAGGCCTAAAGGGAAGACTCGCCCAGGTTCACACTGCTGGAAAGCCCCGAGGCATGATGTGAACACAGGTCTTCTTGACTCTCCAGCCCTACACTGCTATCCACCGTACCAGGGTCCAGAGAACCTTCCAAACTGGGTCTGGCCAACTCAACAACCACTTATGGACCAATGAGCTCGTGCCAGGCGCTGCGCTGGGTAACAAACACAAGCCAGTGCCTGCCCTCGGGAAGCTTATGCTCTAATGGAGGGGCAGGATGCAAGCCGAGTCCCCACAAGCCACTTGCCCGATTCCCACGGGAAGCAGAGAGGTGTCTGCGCCTGTCGGCTCTAAGTCCAAATCCAGGGCTCCGGCCACCGCACCCCGACGCCTGCTCCCAGCGGCTGATCCGGAGCAGCAGCTTTCCTGGGTCCCCCACGGAGCTCGGCCGCAGGAGCGACAGAACGACGGAGGCTGAGCCTGCGAAGGAGGAGAGCGGGGTGGGGAGGGTCCCAGCGGAGGCCTCGCACGGCCCCACGCGCTCCCGGCCATGTGGCTGACGGCGGGCCGGCGCGCCGCCATTGGTGGACGTTCGTGTAGCCCCGCCCCCCCGTCGCGGACAAGAGCCTCGGAAAGTGGGGGGGCCGGTAGGGAACGGAGGGAGCAGAATAGGGAGTGGGGCCGTTGAGAGGGGCCCCGAGCACCAGAGGCCGGGCAAGAAGCCGGAGGAGCAGGGAGGAGGAACGTCCCGGGCGGTGCGCGCCGCCTGCCCAGGCCCGAAGACTGCCACCCCCAGAGAACACTTACTAATGGCGTGCGTCCGCGAGTCGGGCCGTCGGCTCTCTGGTGGGTTCCTCCTCCTAGGGGCTTAGCAGCGCTAGGCCCCGCCCTCCATCTTTAGCAGACCCAATCTAGACGCGGGACGTCTGGACGTCCGGCCAATCAGAGATATATCTGCCCCACATGCGCACTCTTCGCCAATAAGAACGCATCTTTGACTCCCGCCTTGTCTTGGAATGGACGAGAAGAGGAGGGGAGGGTCTCTTTCCCTCGCCACACCCTAGTGTGCAGTGCGTGACCTATTATGCGGCTCGCATATCCTGGAGTCTCATTGGGGGGCGGGGATAGGGAAAAGGAGGCTTGTCACGTGATTCGGCGACGGCAGCCATCTTGAGAAGGTGGCGTTTGGGGCGTGGGCGGGAGCGTGGAAACTTAGGCCTTGAGAGCCTTCTTTTCGCCCTACCCCCTGCGCTCCTGCCCTTCCGACCTCGGCCCTTGAGCCTACTTCCTTTCCTGACCCCTGACCTTTGCTGGCTTCTAGACTGGGATGGACTTGACCTTTGCCCTCGGACCTCCCTGTTGCTCCAGAGGCCGTCCCCAGCTCTCACGACCCCCAAACTTGAACTGGTTTGCTCAAAAGTCACCTTCCCCGGACCTGTTCTGGCCCCTACCCCTCAAACTCCCCAGGGCCTTTTCTGGGTCCCCCTTCTCTTTGTTCCCCATCCTGACCCCTCCGAGGTTCTGGCCCTCACAATGACCGCCCTGGGCTGCCCCCCGCCGCCTCCGCTGCCCCCTCCCCCAGCCCCCCCTGGCGGCCCCCCCCACGTCTTCGGCGTCGAGAAGAGCCGGCTCCTGAAGGAAGCCCTGGCCCGCTCGGACCCGGGCTGGGGGCCCGGGAGGACGTCAGACGGCTCCTGAGGCTCCGGAAAGACCGGTAGGGTCCGGGGAGGGCGCCAGGGCATCGCTTTGCCCTCGCTGGGGGCGGGGGGCATCTGTGTTTGAGCCATGGCCCCCGAGCCCCAGACTGGGTCGTGGGCGCTTCACGGATCCGTCACCATTGCAGCCCTTAGGGGCCATTCAGTCCGACCCACTTTACAGATGGGGAAACTGAGGCCGGGAGCAAGGAAGGGCCGTGACCCAAGGCTCCTGGGCCCGGCCCAGCTTTCTCCCCTTTGTCCCCAGGCTCAGCATCCTGTGCCTCAGCCTTCACAGCCACATTGTCTGCAGCTTCTGGGAGGAAACTCTGCTGGACTTGGCCAGAAGCTTGCGGTCGGTGTGGCGCCTGGACTCAGGAAGACCTGAGTTCAGATTCGACCTCAGACACCCACAGGCCATGTGACCCTGGGCAAGTCACGGCACCTCCGTCAGCCTCATTCTCCTGATCTGTAAAACGGGGATAATGACAGCCCCTGCCTCCCATGGCTGTTGTGAGGATCTAATGAGATTATAATTGGGAAGGGCGTAGCACAGTGCCTGGCACATAGCAGGTGCTCTACCAACATTATTGTTGTAAAATGGGGACTTTAGTATTTGCACATCGGCCTCCTGGACTTGTTGTGACGATTCTCTGTGATCCTTCGAGCTCCTAGCTCTGGGAGGCGGATGGCTGGGAAAGAGCAGAGCCAGGGTGTGCCTGGTCTCCCCAGCTCTGGCCCTCTTTCTGGGTCTCTCTCTCTGCCTCTTTTTTTTTTCCTTTCAGCCAAAGACAAGGTTTATTAAGGATTCGCCATGTTGGTCAGTGTCTTACAGAATCTGAACATTTGTGACCCTCGAATGGGCTAGATTTTAAGAATCTGAGCCTCTGCCTGTTTTTCTAAAAACATAAAATACAAGCATGGGATGCCATTGAGGCCACTGAGCACCACTCCTGTGTTGAGAAGAATGAGATGAGATGATGAGAAGGGAAGGAAATGGGTTCCCGCCTTCTGGTCATCCTGTTGGGACCATCCCTGACTGATCCCTGGGATGCAGCCAGTATGGCTTCCGAGGGACTCTGGGTAATGATGCAATGACGTGTCTTCAGTTTCAGGAGCGATTTGAAGTGGATTCTTTTCTGTTCGGACGTGCCCTCCCTCATCCAAGAAGGGCCTCAGTAGGTAGCCCTGGCCCCCTCCCTGCTGCTTTCAGACTCTCCCAGGGTGGGGCAGGGAAGAGGGATACTTGATACAAAGTTCATCCACCCTGGAGAACTGAGATGGACTGTGGTGGATGGGACCAGCGAGCTGTTTGGGGGAAGAACTTGGGCGTCAGAAGATGCCTCAGCAAGAGCTGGAGGGGAGGGGCCTTTTCATAGCCAAGAACAGAGAGAGGCCCACAGCCAGGGTCCAAGTCCAGGGGTCCAGGGATCCCGACACCCAGCGGGTACCATTGGAAAGAGCCATGGGGCTGTTTGAATTGCAGCTAAGTCCCTTCATCTATAAAGTGACTAATCCATGCTCCTTAGTGAGAGGAGAGTCCACAGAGAGGATGTTCTCCAGTGGCAAGGAAGGAGAGAGAGTCAGAAGAGACGGAAAGCCTCTGAGTGAGAGAGCACCCAGGTCCCCAGCTGTGCTTTGGGGAGATCTCCTCTGGCCCCTTTCTCTGGTGCATGGCTCCCCCAGCCCAGCTGGTCTGGTCGAGTTCTCAGGCTGACACAAGCCGGATTACTTCCCCACCGGCCCAGGCAGTTCACTAGCCTTCTCAGCCCCTCCATCCTGCCAAACTTCACTGGGCCCCCTCCTCATTTTCAGGAAGGGTTTAGGGTCTAGGATTTCTTCTCCCACAATGAGCCCCCAACTCTAGCCCTGGGTTTCCTCCTGGTCTGGAGAACTCTCATTAGTCTCTTCAGAAAGCTGCCTATGTGGAAGTCCCTCCTCTTCTTGTCCTGGACAGGCCTTCCTCTGTTGGAGGTTGGGAAGGCGCCTACGGGCTGGAGTGACATTCGTTTGCCCTCCATCTCCTCTCAGGTGTGGGCTGGTGGCGCTGTGGATGGCGGGCTCTCTGCTGGCTCTCCCCCAGGACGTCCCCTTGGAGAGGATTGTGGCTGTAGCTCTAGAGAGAGGGTACACAGCTCAAGGAGAGATGTTCTCAGGTCAGTGAAAGCAGAGGAGGTACTGAGGCTGGCTACAGGCCAGGAGCTGACCCCCCAAAGCTGTGATCTAGCCAGGCTGGACTGGAGGCGCCAGGTCTACCTACGACTGACACCTTCCCCTTCTTTGCTACAGCAACAAACATGGCCAGGCTGGCCGAGGAGGTCTTTGGGTGCCAGGTGGAGCTGCTCTCTGGGGGCCTGGATGAGCCCAATCGATGCCACGTCCTCCAACACCTCGTCTCAGGCTGCCCACTGCTGGTCCCGTATCCTTTATGTGCCAGAGCAGTGGGAACTGACATGCCCTTTGGGATGGTGTGGACCAAGAGAGGGACTTGTGCCTCCTTGTCCTCCGGGCTTTGGCCTTGACTGCCCTTGGCCAGTTACGATGAGGACTACAACCACGAGCCATGTAAGAAGAGGGGGCACAAGGCCCACTGGGCAGTTGGTGCAGGTAACTCTCGGTCTGTTTTGGGGGTGTGGCCACCCTGCCCTTAAGCCTCAGCACAGAGCTGTGCTACGTTAACAGGGGCAGGGGTGCATGCAGCAAACACCTTTCCCCAGTACTCCTGTGCCTAAGGCCTAGTAGTGGCCACCAGCATACAGGGGGCCTGGCTGGGGGTCAAGATATTCCCCCTCAGCATTGGGTTCATCATCTTTGGAAGGGAAAGGGTAGGACTCCCCCCACCTTGGACTGGACTTCACATTGTCTGGGGAAAGGCCAAGGAGAATAGCTAGGCATTTAGATGGAGCCTTAATAATAATAATAATAATAATAATAATAATAACAATGACGATGATAATAAACTGTGTGCAGGGCTTTGTGCTAAGCACTTTGAAAACATTACCTCATTTGATCCTTGCAACAACCCTGGGAGGTGGGTGCTGTTATCCCTGTTTTACTGATGAGGAAGCTGAGGCAGACAGGAGGGAAGTATGTGGGGACGTATCCTAACTCCAGGCCCCACCAGCTGCCAGGGACCAAAGCAGAGTCATTCCCCTCCCCATCCAGGCATCCTGCTCGGGGTTCCTAGTCCAGCACTGAGCCCAGATTATGAGGAGGATGCAGAGCTGAAGGGCCTGTTCTACCCGGCGTCTGACAAGCCCCCTCTCCTCCCTGAGGACCCTCCAGAGGCCATCTACCTCCTCTCTAAGCAGGGCAAGAGCTGGCATTATCAGCTCTGGGATTACGAACAACTTTGTGAGAGCAACCTACAGCTGACTGACCTGGCCCCAGTCAGGACCATGGACGGCAAGGTGTACGTGGTACCTCCTGGCGGGTTGCACGCTGGCCTCTGCGGCCAAAGCCTGCTGCTGCGGCCCTACAACTCGGGCCGGCCCGGCAGTCTGCCTGCTCCTCAGTTTCCCTGTCCCGCCTGCCCCACGGAGGTGCTGGGAGGCCCAGATGAGCTGCCAGGAACACTGGACCCAGAGACCAGAGGCTGAGTCCTAGTCCTGGCACCTATCCCTGGACCTTAGTTCTCCCCTTGTGCGGTGGGGTGCAGTGACAGGATGTGAGGGCTCATAAACAGCCCTGCCGGTGTGAGAAGAGTGTCCTGCTGTCATCATTTTCCATCTGCCAACTCAGCATTCCTTGAGACTCCCCTCTGAAGGGAACTCATCAGAACTCAAAACTTGTGGAAAACCATCTTGCCCGTCTCTGTTTATTTAAGGGAGTGGTGAGGCCCCTGCTCCATCTCATCCCTTCCAGCATCAGCCCACTCCTCTTTATAAATAAGGAGAAAGAGTATACCCCTGTTCTCTCTCCATCCCCACCCCAGGGCCAGGAAAGGATGCTTCAGTAAGGCTGGCGCTCGGGAGGCAGCTGGTATGTGGGGGGGGGGGTCTGGCCTTGAACCCTCAGCTCTGCCACTTCCTGTGCTGTGGGTGGAGAATGAGACTAGATCATTCCCTAGAGCCTCTTCAAGTTCCTGGGTAAAGCCAGGCCCCTCCCCAGCTCTTCCTTGGGGAGCTGGAAGACAAATAAGGGGCCAGGGTTTTCTCCTCTCTGCCTCCCTCACCCTCAGGGTGCATGGATGGAGTAGTCTTTGGTTTATGTGCTCAGAGAGGGCCGGAGTTGGCACTGGACACTGCCAGCATGTCATCCCCCCCCCAAAGGCTGAAGGCTGAGCTGACAGTCCTGGCAACCTCTATTATAGGCAGTGGTAGTCACACCTTCTATTGGGAGGAGGGCAGGGGAGGCTCACTTGGCCATCCCCACCCGTTAGCCTCCTCCCCTCCAATCCGAAGCTGGGAAGAACAGGCCTCTGGTGGGAAGAGCAGGACAAAAAAAGGTTCCCCCCAACAACCCTGGCAGAGGCTGGCCCCCAGAGCCAGGAAGAGGTCAGATGATATACCATCACCACCAGGGGGTGAGGGGATGAGGAAGAAAGTAGAAGTCACAGTGTTAACATTGGCCCTGACACTCCCCCCCAAAGCTGGTGCTGGTATTGGGGTGAGAGGGCCTTCTCTGCCCCTGAGTCAGCCCATGGCACAGCAAGCATCGTAGCATCTTGTACACAGAAGCGGCTCTCGAGGGGTGATGCTCAGCCCATTGCACCCTGGCACTGAGGGGGGCGCACCTGCAGCCAGCATGGGTCCCCCTCCTCAGAGCCGGGGTCACTGGGGATGGTCCTGTTTCAGATGCCACCCCCTGCTGCCCTCCTTTGGGTTCTGCCCCCTTCCTGTCTCAACAGCTTAAATACCTTAAATAAATAAATCCCAAGGTGGGAGCCCCAAGTTCAGTCCTGCCCCTCAAGTCTCTGGCTCAGCTCCGAGCCAAGCTATCCAGAAGTTGGATGACGTTGTCCAGACCCCACAGGTAGCCGTCCTCATGGTTACCCTCTTCCCAAGGCAGCCGGTGGCTGAGGGTCTGGGGTGCAGGCAGAGGGACGGTCTTGCCAAAGTCGATCATCCAGACTTTGGCCAGGCCGGTTTGGTCGTGGACAAAGAGGAGTGAACTACCCACCACCTAGGGAAAAAGGTGACAGGAAGGTCAGATTAGGGAGGGTAGGAGAGAGCAGAGGCCAAGCAGGCAGGCCAGCACCCTCCCAGCCCAAAGACACAGGGATGGTACAGGGACTGGCCAGAGGTCCCTCCACGGATAAGCAAGGCATCAGAGAAAGGAACGAGGCAGGGGAGCTGGCAAAGCAATCTCCTGAGGAAGTGTGGTGAGGGGAGAGGGAACAAGAGGCCAAGACAGGCCAACAGAATGGGGAAACTGAGGCACGGAGAACCAGCCCTCTCCCGGGAGCTGTTGCACCCCAACCTCTAGAGGAAATCAAGCCCTGTGGTAAGGGCCTCACGGGTGCCCTTGTAGTGCCGGGCCAGGGCATAGAAATAACGTGCACACAGCAGGCTGGAAGGCCGACCTCCTCCTCCTCCTCCACCACCACCACCGTGTGACTCGGGTCCAGGGCTCACCTCATGAGTGCGGAAGAAGGGGGAGTTTTCCAGGGTTCCACGAAGCTCCTCCAACCGTTTCACATACTTCCTCTGTGGACATGGGGAAGCAGTCAACTTCTCAGGACCCAAGGTAGGAGCACGCCTTCATTCCTGCCTGCCCTGCTCCCCCAAGCCCAGAAAGTCTCCCTCTAAAGATGCCCAGACTCCTTCCTGCTTCCCCAAGAAGGACCCTAGGATTCTGACCGTATCCAGTCAGGAGCAGAGCTCTAGAACTGAAAGGGGCTTTAGAGACCACTGAGTTCAACCCATTTCACAGATAAGGAAACTGAGGTCTGTAACTGTGTTAGGGCCCAACTAAACTCGATGCATTAGTGGGTGTTAGGACCAGGATTTGAACCAAGGGGAAAGGACAGGGGTTTGAAACGGATGGGAAGGAAGATAGTTCACTGACCAGGAGGTTCCGATCGCCATCCACGAAGTCCTCCAGGACTCGGGTGACCTGCTCTGTCCCCTGGGTCTTCTTGAAATTAGTGTTGCAGGTGCCATCCGCCTTCTGAGGGAGCATGGAGGAGGTATGGCGGGGTCAGACTACATCAGAGGCCATCTCACACAATCCCACCTCCAGGCATAGTCCCTCATACCCCAGCCAGACCCTCACACTGGGGGCCAGGAGCACCTGCCTCATGGGAAGGAGGAGTTCTGTTTTACTTTGATAAGTGAATTTCAATACTAATTGGTTTCCTTTGTCATCATGTATGTTCTATGTCTTTAAAAATCATCTTCTGAAAAGGGATCCAAGATGCAAAAACATTAAGGACCCTTCTAGTCAGAGAACAGGAAACCTGCCCCCCCAATTTAGCATCCCTCAGACATGATTATTCATAATTCTGTAACATTTTAAAGTTTGCAGTTTTTCTTATAACCGCCCTTTGAGATAGGTAGTGCACGTACAAACCCCCATTTTACAGATGAGAAAGCTGAGTCATTAGGCAAATGGCTGCAAGCTCTAACGGAGAACTCGGGCTCCCTTGCCTCTGGGACACCACTCTCACCCAGAGGTCTTCTCACCTTGATGCCCTCAATTCGGAAGCCCAGAGTGGCCGTGGAGCTCACTGTCTCTCGCCACTGCATGTAGCGAGGCTTGGTGACGGCACCCTGGGCATGCTCCTCTGCGGTGGGAGCACTGGGGTCCACAGCTACCATCTTTTCATACATGTCCCTACGAGGCCGGGGACGCTCTCGGGCCTTTGCTAGCTCTTCTTCCAGGTATGTCCTTGGGAGAGATGCCAGGGGGAGGGCTTCAGGCACTGCCACCCTCCACACCACACAGCTGTTTCAGGCCAGTGTCAGGCTAGGAGCCTCAAACAACTGGGCCCTAAAGCCCTTGGCATTTCTCAGATCCCACAGAGTCCCAAGGAGAGAGTCAGCCCTGCCCCAGACACCCCTAGCTCTCCCTGGTTCCCCCAGCACTTTCCGGTGCTCTCCTGAATGATTTGGTGCTAAGGAGCCCACCCAGCAGCCCTGTCAATACTGCCAAGGCCCACCTGGTGCCCATCTTGCAGTCCATGATGGAAGGCGTGCTAAAGTCAGCCAGCAGGTCCTCCATCTGGTTGAAGGCTTCTCCGTCCTGCTCCACCACCCCGTAATAGGTCGGCACAAACGGACGAAGTGCATCGCCCATCAGCCGTTCCAGGCTCCGCTGTTCGCTCTCGCAGAACCTTTTCAGGATCCGCCCATCCTCCCCAGCTTGGAAATTCCCTGGAAGCAAAGTAGCAACTCTCTGAAGGGGCCAGAACTGGGGCAGAGAGAGGCCCCCGCCTTCCTCCCCACACCATGCCTAGAGATCAGAAATCTTGGCAGCCCTGGCCCACAGCCACCTCAGTTCTGCTCCCTGCCTCAGTTTCCCTTTCTCTCCAAGGTGGAGAAGGGACAGTTGCCAATTGAGGCCAGAGCAGGTCTGTACCTCCCACACCCAATCCCAGCCCATACCCTTGTGTCCCGACAGCTGGACCCAGGGATAGTGCTTTCTGAAAGACACGACGAACGGTGCACAGCGCACAGCCGTCTTCAGCTTCCTCCAGGACACATTCTGATCGAGAGAGCAGAAGGGCATTTAACAGGGGAAGGAGAGCTCCCCAGGCCAGACAAAGGGGGCAGACCCAGCCCGCTCCCGGGAAGACCCCACTGACAAAGGCAGGGGAAGAGGCCAGAGGGATGAGGGAAGCCCTCCCCCCTCCAGGGATGGCCCCACAGACAAAGGGGGGAGAAGAGGCCAGAGGGATGAGGGAAGCCCTCCCCCCTCCAGGGATGGCCCCACAGACAAAGGGGGGAGAAGAGGCCAGAGGGATGAGGGAAGCCCTTCCCCCTCCAGGGAAGACCCCACAGACAAAGGGGGGAGAAGAGACCAGACGGATGAGGGAAGCCCTCCCCCATCCAGGGAAGACCCCACAGACAAAGGGGGGAGAAGAGGCCAGAGGGATGAGGGAAGCCCTCCCCCCTCCAGGGAAGACCCCACAGACAAAGGGGGGAGAAGAGGCCAGAGGGATGAGGGAAGCCCTCCCCCCTCCAGGGAAGACCCCACAGACAAAGGGGGGAGAAGAGGCCAGAGGGATGAGGGAAGCCCTCCCCCCTCCAGGGAAGACCCCACAGACAAAGGGGGGAGAAGAGGCCAGAGGGATGAGGGAAGCCCTCCCCCCTCCAGGGAAGACCCCACAGACAAAGGGGGGAGAAGAGGCCAGAGGGATGAGGGAAGCCCTCCCCCCTCCAGGGAAGACCCCACAGACAAAGGGGGGAAGAGGCCAGAGGGATGGGGCAAACCCTCCCCCCTCCAGAGATGGCCCCACTGAAGACAACCTCCTCACCACTCTCAAGGGATCCGAGCGACTGTCAGATCAGCCCTTCTCAGTAAGGCACAGTGAGAAAGGGAAAACTTCAAGGAGAAAGAAAGAGCTGGGGAGGGATGGAATGACCCGATAGGGAGACAGAAAAGGAGGCAGAAAGAGAGAGGGAGACAAAATGAGAGGGGGTAGAGACAAAAGAGGGAGAGGGAAGATGACCAAGGAAGGAGGGGACTAGAAGGAGCTTGGGAAGGTGGGGAGCGACGCTAGAAGAAAACCACGTTCCTGGGATGCCCCCCAATGCCTGTTCTGGGGACAGGGAGGGAGCATAACATGGGAGGTTTCAATGAAGCCTGCCCCAGGCTGCTGGAGGTACAGTTTCATGGGGTGCAGGAGGGGTGGGGAAAGAGATGAGTGATGTCCAGGACAAATGTAAGTGGCCTGTACCACTGCAAAAGGGACAGATGCCAAAAGAACCCGGACTGAGAGACGGGACCCCTGGGACTCTCCTTCCTGACTCACTGGATGGCACTGGGAGATTTCCCTCCCCCTTGGAACCTCAGTGTTCCCATCTCTGGCATGAAAGGGCTGGGGTCTGTAAGGTCCTTCCCCACTCTGAGAGACAGAGATGGTGAGTCTGAGACACAAAGGGTAACATAACATAGCACGTGATTACCCATGCCAGACTCCTATACACACATGCGTGTCTCAGCGCGTCCTTTTCACATGTCTGTTTACGTTCTCCTGGCCCCTGTACCTTCATGCCTATGCACGAATTTGGACTTCCTTTGCACTTCCTGCCCTAGTGGAGGGGGGCAGGGGCAGGGGAGGGGTTTCAGCTGAAGCTTGTTCCCAGCATTCCCTCTTCCAAGAAGCCCCCCCACACACACTCTGAGAGGAGATGGGAGTGGGGCAGCCCCAGCTGGCATTGTCCTCACAGAGCCCGGTAGCTTGCCCCAACCCCCAGGTGTCTGACCAAAAAATTCCTCCTCCATCACTCATACACCTGGCCCACAGTTCCTCCAAACCAGCCTGGCGAGGGCAGGCAGAGCCCTGATTCACCAGGGGCCCCACCCCATGTTTTTGAGGGATGTGGAACGGGGAAAGGGGTAAGAACAGGTTGAGTGAAGACCCTTCTTGAGAAGAAAGACCAGGACATATGGGGATGCAGGAGGACAGACCAGGGTTGGTGGGGGTGAGGGAGGACCGACCAGGGTCAGTGGGGATGAGGGAGGACAGACTAGGGCCAATGGGAACGAGGGAGTGTAGACCAGGACCAGTGGGGGTGAGGGAGGACAGACCAGGGCTGGTAGGGATAAGGGAGGACAGAATGGGATTGGAAGGATGAGGGAGGAGAGTAAGACTGTTCTAGGGAAGGCTGTGTGGAAAGCAGGGACAAGTGGGGTGGTCGGGGCTCCATTTACCCTGGACCCCTCCTCAGGATCACTGCTGCCTCCACCCCCGATGACCACATCATCCTCAGACTCATCAAAGGAAGAAGCAGATGAAAGGCCTCCGCTGCCACCAGGTCCTCTGGCTGGGGACCCCACAGGATGGGGCAAAGGGCCTCCTTGCTCTTGGCCCAGCAGTCCAGTCCCGGGCTCGGAGGTGATGATCACCCGGGGCACAGGCCTCTGGGGGCCCCTACAGAGCAGGGAGTGGCACCGTTCTTCCAGCAGAAGGAATTCCAGAGCCTCCTCTGGACTCCCCATCTCCAGCTCCCCCACGGGCAAGCCACTGTCCAGAGCAACCAGCCTAGGCTCACAGTCATCTCTGGCCAAGTGTCCACAGATACCAGGTCTCTCTGGCCTTCCTATGGGGCCATCTCTACTGAGCCCCACCTCAGGGCCTTCTCTGTCCAGCTGCCTCACAGTGCCAACATCTCTGTCCCTTGGCCCCCAGAGGCCATCTTGCTCTGTCCCCACCAGGGGGCCATCTCTGCTTGGATGCCCCAGAGTGACCTTGCTGTCCAGCTGCTCCAGCAGACTCCCACCTCCTGAAGGTAGCTCAGAGCTGTATCTGTGAAGCTGTGCCCAGGTACTGGGTCTCTCGGCCCTCACCAGGGAGTCATCCCTGTCCATGGGTAACTGGGGGCTGTCTCTGTCCAAATGTCCCATGGGGACATCTTTACCCAGCTGTCCCCAGAAGCCAGCTTTCTCTGGCACCGTGGGAGGCCCATCTCCACTGGGCTGATCGTTGGGGACATCACGAACCTGTTTCCCCTGTTTCTCTGGCTGTGGTACAGGGCTGCGTCTGCCTGGACAGCCCGGCCATCCCCAGAGGTTGTCTTTCTCAGTCCTCACTGCTAGGCAGTCTTTAGCTGGCTGTCCCTGGGAAATGCCACCATCCAGCCTCCCCAGAGGACCTCCTCCACTGTCCGGCTGTGGTGCACAGAAGTGTCTGTCTAACTGTCCCCAGCAGTCCTGTCTCTCTGACTGTGCCTCCAACTTGTCTCTCTTAGGCCACCCAAGAGTGATCTCAATGTCCAGCCTTCCCAGGAGATCCTCACCAGTTGGCCGAGATGCAAGGCCCTCTCCATCCAGCTGACCCCAAAGGTTATCCCTCTCTGGATCATCTCTGTCCAGCCAGCCTTGAAGGCTGTCTCTGTTCAGTGCCCAAAAGCCATCTCTCTCTGGACTGAGCTGGGAGATGGTTCCATCTGGCTGTGCTTCTGAGTAGCGTCTGTCCAGCTGTCCCCAGAGACCAGCTTTCCCTGGCCTTACCTGGGGGATATCTTTGTCCGACTGTCCCCACAGGCTTGCTCTCTCAGTCTCGGGCTTTGGGGCATCTTTTTCTGGCTGCCCTGCAGTGGAATGGTGATCACCAGTCCATTCTGTTTGATAGTCGTCAGTATCTGGTGGTTCCCCCAAGACCAGCTTTTTCTGGCCTTACCCAGTGATCCCAGGGGCCAGCTCTGTCCATCTGTCCCTGAGGGCTGTCTCCATCCTTCCATACCCAGGACCCGGCTCTGCCAGGTATCATCTGGTGGCTGTCTTGGTTGGGCTGATCCCCAGAGCTCTCTTGCTCTAGCCTTGTTCTGTGGCTGTCTCTACAGGGCCCTCCCTGCGGGTCTGCTCTGTCCTGCAGCTTCCAGGGGCCAGCACCCTCCAGCCATCCCTGAGAGCCTTCTCTGTCCAGCTGAGGCTCAGAGACGTCTATGTCAGGTTGTCTCCATGGCTCAGCCCCATCAGGCTGATCCTGGGACCTAGCAGTGACCAGCATCCCCAGCCGCCCTCGAGGCCCAGCTTTGCTCTGCTGAGCCTGGATCCCAGCAGTGTCCACTCGGGCCTTGGTGGTGTCCAGTGGCCCCTGGGGCCCGGCTCTGCCTGGCTGATCTTGGGTCCCCGCGATGTGCAGCTGAGACTCAAGAGCCTGTGCGTCCAGCTGATCCCCGGCCAAGGTAGTGTCCGGTGTCCACTTGGCCCCGGCCGTGTCCAGCGTCCCCTGGGGGCCTGCAGCGTCCCGCGGATCCCCAACGGTGTCCAGCGTCCCCCGGGCCTCGGCGGTGTCTAGTGTTTCTTGGGGCCCAGTTCTGTCCCGCCCAGCCCGGACGCCCGCAGTGTCCAGCGTCCCCCGGGCCCCGGCGGCGTCCGGCCGATCCCGCGGCGGGGGAAGCCCGCCCCCCTCGGGCCCCGGGCCCCGGCTCCGCCGCCTCCGCGCCTCCGTGGCCGGCGGCGCCCGGCAAGGACAGCGTCGCATGCCCTCCCGCAGGCCGCTGCGCTCGGCTCCGGCCGGCCCGGCCCGGCCCGGGATCCTCCTCGGGCCCCTTTAAAGCCGGGGGTGTGGCCGGCCCCGGGCGCCGCGGTTCCGGGTTTCCCTCCCTCCGCAGCCGCCGCTTCCTTCCGGCCCGACCGCGGCGACCAAGGGGTTAACCGAGGCCCCGCCTCCTCCCGGCCCCGCCCCTCCCCGGGGAAGCCCTGGGCCCCGCCCCAGGCTGCGTGTACGGCGACGTACTAGGGGGAGGAAATCCCTGGCCCCACCCCCCACCGCCCAGACCGAAACCGGCCAGTCCCGGGAGCATCTCCAAGCGTCTTCCAAACATCCGGGGCGTGGCGCAGCCGAGGCCCCGAAACTGGAGTCGGGGTCTACAAGACCCAGGTGCTCTACATTACTCATCTTAGCCTTTCTGAGCTCCCTCCATGTCCTAATCTAGAAAAAGTGACCACCTCTCAGCCTCAGTCTCATCTGTAAAATGGAGATAATAAAAGAGCGACCTCCCCAGGGTGGTTGTGAGGGTCTAACGAGTTAACATACGTAAATACTTTACCAACAAATGCTAGCTATCGTTGTTGTTTTTGTCGAAAGCGGATTTTGGGGAGAACATAACTGACGCTCCATTTTGTTCTGTATTTGCTATTTTTCTTTCCATGGGATGATGCCTCTTTGACTTGTGCAAAACAAGCCTCTTTCTTTAGTTCCCTTTCCTTAATCCCTTTAAGACCACCCCAGAAAGCTGGGAGGACCTCCGGAGTTCAAAGACATCAATCTCTTTAACCCCTCGGATAAAGCAAGGCCTTAACAATGCTAATTGATTGATTGGCTGTTAGGAAGGTAAATGGATATGCTAAAAAGTGACATTCTTTCCTTCATAACAATTTAAGCATTCTCTTTAGTTTTAATAATAAGTAGCTTTCAGGTCTAGGACGCCCAACCGCCACTTAACAAAACTTCTAGGTAAGAAACACACCTTCTCTTTTGTTATTCTCTAGCTGGGTCGTGTAGCTGGGAGGAGAGAAATTATATGTCCCTTCATACATATGTATATGTCATCCTTGGCACTGTGAGACTGATGGATGGAGTGTGTCATGCTCTTGAGTAAATCAACTTCAGTTTACTCATTTGGGAAGTAGCTGGTATGGACCCTGAAAAATATTGCAACATTATCATTGTTATCATAGGATAACAATTCCTGCAGCCAATATCACACAGAGCTGTTTACAGCCTCCGGTGAAATGTGTTGAAAGCAATTTATCAGCCTTAAAGTTAAGCACAAAGGTTAATGATCATTCTTGTAAAGGCTAAAGGCACCCAATGCACAGGTCCCTCAGCTGGGTCAAAAGTCAGTCTACTCAAGCAATAAGCATTTATTAAACCCTTACTATGTATCAGACATTGTGTTAAGAGCTGGAGTAACAACATATGAGTAACAATGTTCATACAAGACATATACAGTGTGTGTGTGTGTGTGTGTGTGTGTGTGTGTGTGTGTCACTGTGAGGTAATTTCAAAGGCAAGACAGTGTGCGGTGGGGGTGGAGCTGGGGACAAAGGACAAGCACCTAATTCCCCTGGAATAGGAGATTCCTGATGTCTGGGTCCAGATGTCTGTACCTAGATAGGACCTCTCACCAGCCCACCACCTGACTCAGAGGTCGATGACTCACTACAATCAAGTGTGAGGGATGATGAAAACACAGAGAGGACTTTCAGCTAAAACTGAGTCACTTGGAGGGGTTGGGGTCAGGTGCAGCCTAGAGTGAGTCACAAGGAAACAGGCTGAAAGTAGGGAGGTTTCTGGGACCCCATTTTCTAGCCCCCTAGGGAGAATGGGACTAGGAAGAAATGACAGGTGCTTGGATGAGTCAGCTATGCTCATTCCTGGGCTGTGTGTGTGGAAACTGGAGTTCTCCCAGGCCCTCGCAGCTGGTGGCCCCAATCTCCTCCCCACTACCCCCACCTCGGATTTCTTAAAATGCCCGGGCTGACTCAGGTCCCCAAGATTCTGCATCTCATTCTTATCAACATCCAGGGCACAGCACCCTCCTCCTCCCCCAGGTTCTCCTCGCTTCCTCAAACCTGATAAGCAGGAGGGAGGGAGGAGGGAAGTAAATCAAGAGAGAAGCCCAGGTAGAACTAAGCCTGAGGATGTGAAGTGAATAGAGAGGAGGATGAGTCAGGGAGAAATAAGAACTCGTATTTATACAGAGCCCATAAAGAACAGCCCGGTATTTTAACCTCATCTCCTCTGAGCCTAAGGGCAACTAAGTCAAAGACTCTAGGATGCAGGTGAACCCTTGCTGCCCAAGGTAGATATCCTTACTGGGGAAACTGGGGCTCAGGAAGGTTAAACGACTCGCCCAGAGTCACACGGTTATCACGTGATGGAGGCAGGATGGACACCCAGGTCTCCCTGATTCCAAACTTGCGCTGCGGGACGAGGAAGGAAAGCGGGGTGAGGGGGGCAGAAGGAGGGGACGATACGACAGGAGAGCAGAAGTGGAGGGTCTGCAAGTAAGGGGGAGCAGATGTGAGGACCCGTGTAAAGGAGGGGGAAGCAGAAGTGAAGGGTCTGCAAGGAAAGGGGAACAGAAGTAAGAGACCGTGCAAAGGAAGGGGGAACAGATGTGAGGGATCGTGAATAGGAAGGGGGAGGGGAGCAGAGATGGGGGGCCCTGCACAGGACTGGGGAACAGAAGTGAGACGCCTGTTGGGGAAGACGGAAAGTGTGCAGAGTGGGAAGGGGGCGTTAGAGTGGAGAGGAGGACGAGAAGGGGCGTGAGCAGCGAGACACTCAGCCACGCCCCTAACCCCGCCCCGAGGCCCTGGCCCTGGCCCCGCCCCCGCCTCAGCACACGCGCGCGCCCCACCCCAACCCTCCTCTCTAGAGACTCGGGCTCCCGTCAGTCAGCGCGGCTTCCCGCCCTGTCATTGGCCAGGCTCGAGTAGAGGGGCGGGGTCTCCCGGAAGTTGGGGGGGTGGTGCTGAATTTACGGACGGGCCCTGGAGGAAGGGGGGCCTTGCAATAGAAGGAGCTGTGGGTGCCTAGCAACGGAGGAAGGGGGGCAGGAGAGGCGGGATGAGGGGCGGGAAACAATGCTGGGCAGGGGGAAACAGAGAGAGAAAGGGGATGGGGAGAAGGGGGAGGGGCAGAGAGGAGAGGGGGAGCAGAGAGGAGGAGGAGGAGCCAGGGAGGAGAGAGTAGGGGGAGGGGGCCAGGAGAGAGAGGGCAGAGAGGTGGGGGGGGCAGGGAGGAGAGAGAGGGCAGAGAGGTGGGAGGGGCAGGGAGGAGAGAGAAGGGGGGGCCAGGAGAGATGGGCTAAAGAGAGGGAAGGGGAGGCCAAAGGGAAGAGAGAAGGGGGAGAGGAGAGAGGGGCCAGCGAGGTAGAGGAGGGGGGTCAGAGAGGAGAGAGAAGGGGGAGAGGGGAAAGGAGGGAGGAAGGGTGCTGAGGAGGGGGAGGGGCAGTAGAGAAGAGCCCCAGAGAGAAAAGAAAGGCAAAGAGAAGAGAGAATGGAGAAAGAAGGCAGCATATGAGAGGGAAGAAAGCAGAAGGAAGATGTAGAGTGGGGGGCAGAGAAAGAGGAGATGGGAGGCAAAGACCCCTGAGCCCAAAAAAGGGAAGAGGAAAGGGAGAGGTGCCCCTAGTCACATTGAGGGGAGAGCTCAGACCCCTCCTCTCCTGTCTCTTCTAGGCCATGTGGTCTGAACACTTCCGAGGCACGGCTAGGACACTGGGCCAGGCTCTGCGCCCCACTGCTGTCTCAAGAGGGAATTGTCAGTGGCCCCCAGCCTCACCCTCGCACCCCCACAATGCCTCACGTGCCGGGGCTCAGAACAGTGAGGGGCCAGCCGCAGCCTCTGGGCTGAGCGAAGAAGACATCCGGAGAGCCCGGGAAGCAGCCCGGCCCAGAGTGGGGCCAAGGCCCCAGGTAATGCCACCCCTGTAGGCCTCCCTTGTGCCCACACTGTCTGTCCCCTGGCCTTGCCCCTTACTGTACCCTGTACTATCTCCTGATTGATGTCTCCCACTGGCTCAGCCCCAGCCCCTTCCCACAGTGCCCCCTCCCCTGGCCTCACTGGTCAACTACCCCCCCAATTCCCCTCTTTCTCCAGCTGAGTGAGCGTGCCCGGGAGCGCAAGGTACCTGCTTCTCGAATCAGTCGCCTGGCCAACTTTGGGGGTAGGTACCACCCTGTGCAGCTGGAGGCAAGATGTCTGAAAGACAGGCCAAGAGAATGAAAGCATGAGAGTCATGGGCTAACACTCTGCCACCTCAGAAGGTAGCAGGGTTCCCATCCCTGGAAGTGTTCAAGGGACAGGAGATGTCAGGCATTACTGTTCAGGCACAAGTTGGAACCCATTATTTCTCACGTCCCTTCACACACCAAGCTTCCATGATTTGTGACAGTGAAATCACGTGAGGGAGACAAGGCAAGCCAGGAGAAATGGCCAAGCAAGCTAGGCTAGTCCACAAGTATTATGTTTAAAGGCACCCTGGTACAAAGAGTCAAAAGACAGTCCCTGTGCTCAAGGAGCTTACAGTCTAACAGGGGAGACAACATGTAAACAAATCTACAAAGCAAGCTCCTTCCAGTATAAATAGGAGATAGTTAACCAAGGAAAGGCACTGGAATGAAGAGGGGATGGGGAAGGCTTTCTGGAGGAGAGATTTTAGTTGGGACTTTAAGGAAGCTTTCGTGTCAGTAGCTGGAGTGGAGGAGGGGGAGTGTTCTAGGCCGGTGGGGGGGGGGGACCAGCCAAACAGAGTGCCTGGAGGCAGGAAGAGTTGGGAATGTCTTGTTCATAGAACTCCCAGGAGGCCAGGGTCACTGGATTGAAGAGAACATAGAAAGTAAGGTGTAAGAACACTGGAAAGGGAGGAAGGGGCTTTGAACATTTTGTATTTGCTCCTGGAGGCAATAGGGAGGCATTGCAGTTTGTTGAGTAGGGGGTGACATGATCAGACAGACGTGCTCTTCAGGAAAATCCCTTTGGTGGCTGAAATGAGGATGGCTTGGAGTGGTGAGAGCCTTGAGGCCAGTAGAAGCCCCAGCAGCTAGTGCATTTATCCAGGGGTGAGGTGATGATGGCCTGCACCAGGGTGGGGGCCATATGGGGGGAGTGTATTGAAGAGATGTTACAAAGGTGAAATCCATAGGCCTTGGCTACAGATTAGATAGGGGATAGGGGGGTGTGGTAGGGGGGTAGAGATAGTGAGGAATCCTGGATGACTCCTAGATTGGGAGCCTGAGGGCCTGGGAGGAGGGTGGTGCTCTGTCCCCATTACCTTAGGGGAGGGGGAGGATTTAAGGGGAAAGATAATGAGTTCCATTTTGGACATGTTGAGTTTGAAATGTCTACTGGACCTGTGGTTTGAGATGTCTGAAAGACAGTTGGAGATGAGAGATTGGGGGTCAGCAGAGACACTGGGGCCTGGAAGGTAGATGTGAGAATCATCAGCGAATCATCAGCATAGAGAAAGATGGTCATTAAATCCGTGGGAGCTGATGAGATCTCTCAGTGAAGTCCTATGGAGGGAGAAGAGAAGAGGGCCCAGGACAGAGCGCTGGGGGACACCTAGGGTCAGAGGGCATGATCAGGAGGAAGATCCAGCAAAGGGAACTGAGTGTGGGCCATCCTTATTACCATCTTCCTGACTGAGGGGAGGAGAGTACACGTTTGTGTAGCTCCTGCCCTGCGCCAGAGAGATACCTCATTTGTTCCTTACAACTCTGGCTGATGGGCACTGTTATCGTTACCATTTTACGGTTGAGGAAATTAAGGCAGAGGTTAAATGATGCACCCTGAGTCCCCCAGCTAGTAGGTAGCTGAGGCCAGATTTAGACTCAGATCTTCTTGACTCCAGGCCCAGGGAGAGGGAAGTTCCCCTCCACTCACCACCACAGGCTAAACCTAGGACTCAGCACCTCCACGGTGGAGCTCATTGTCTTCACCCATCGTTCCCAGCATCCGTCTGCCTGCTGAGGGCACTGCCGTCCCTCCTGATGCCCAGGTTCACAGCCCGAGTCAGCCTCCACTCCTTGCCCTCTCTCACTGACCAGTTGGTTGCCAAATCATGTCAGTGCTATTTCCATCACATCTGTCTCCTGCACAGAATGTCTGCCCTGGGCCAGGCCAGTCTCCTGGCCTCCAGTGGCTCCCGTCCACCCTCCGTAGGCTTCCAAAGCACAAATCTGACTTTGTCTCCTGCGCCCCCCAAAATAAAATCTGCACGGCTTCCTATTGCCTCCAGGATCAAATAGAAAGCCCTGAGGTTGGCGTTTCAAGCCTTCCAAAGTCTGTCTCCCATCTTCCCCTACAGTCTTCTTTTGTGTCCTTCTCAGTCAATTTGGCCAGCTAGCTGATTCCTGTACAGAACCTCCCATCTCCCACCTCCAAGCCTTTGCCCAAGCAGGACCTATGCACATACACACATACATGCTCCTGGCAATCCGTCTCTCCTCACCTGGCCCTCAGGAGCCGCAGCTTGGCCCTTCCCTCCCATAGGCTCACGAGGACCTTGCCAGCAGTTAGAGTCTGCTCCTGGAAATCCCTTTGGCACTGCTTTGGACTTAGTTACATAGCTGTTGTGCTCCCCTGGCAGACTTCAGGGCGGGGCTGTTCCGGTTTTGTCTCCGTGCCTGGCACACAGTGGATGCTCAGTAAATACTGCTCTAATGTGTTGTGAACAAGTATTTGGAAGTACTATAGAAATGAGTTGATAAAGGAAGTTTGAGGAGTCGGCAACATCTTCCCATAGGAGAGGACGTTGTGCTGAGCCTGAAAGGAAGGTCATGGTTATCGGGTGGAGAACAGCCTATGCAAAGGCATGGAGGTGGGAGACGGAACGTGAAGTTGGGGAAAGAGCAGGTGGATTCCATAGAGGCCATGAAGGGAGGTGATGGGAAATCGAGCCAGAAAGAGAAGCCGGGGGGACGAGGGGGAGGCTGGGCCCTTTAGGACCCGTCTGACTTGGGAAGAATCACTTAACCTTCTGGGCCTCAGTTTCCTTGCCTGTGAATTGAAGGGATCGACTTGATGGCACCTGAGATCCCTTCCCATTTGAAGCTTTGAGCCTGTGACTGAAACACAGGGAAAAAGCCTAGCTTGAGAGGCCCATTCTAGAAAGACAGGAGGAGCGCAAGATGCCTGCCAAGAGCCTCGTGGGTAATGGCAAGAGTGGCGCAGAAGTGGGCCCGGCCACCTGGGGAGGCCTGCAGCGGGACCAGCACACAGAGCCCTCACTGGCTTTCTTGTGACTTCCAAGGCCCTTCTCACTCTGAAATTGCATGTTGTGACAGACGGTGGCAGGGAAGCAGGATGGGGAGAGCCAGAGCCGAAGGGAAAGATGAAGCGAGCGTGACAGACGGGACAAGGAGAGGGACGTGGTGGGGGTGGGGGACCAAGGCAGTGCCTAACTCTGCCTCCTGCCCCAGGACTAGCAGTGGGCCTGAGCCTCGGTGCCCTGGTTGAAGTGGCCAAGATGTCGCTGTCAGGAGGGCAGGCACGGCGAGGGGGTAAGTAAGGACACCTGGAGGGCCTGGCAGGGCTGGGCTGCCCTGGCTGCAGGCACTCCGTCCGTCCACGCCCACCATTCCTTCCCTAGAAGGTGGCCCTGTTGTGGGCCCCAGCCCTTTCCTCTCTGAGGCCAATGCTGAGCGGATAGTGAAGACTCTGTGCACGGTTCGAGGAGCAGCGCTCAAGGTTGGCCAGATGTTAAGCATCCAGGGTATGGCCCCCCCGCCCTCCTCCTAAGCCCCAGGCCTCTCCAGTTAGCCCAGTCCTAAGATAGCCTGTCCCCCTCCCGGACACTGAGCCCCGTCCCCAGGGCCCTGGACACACTCTTGAGCCCTTCAGCGCTGGCCCCCCCCCCAAGCTCCTCCCTGCCATCCCCAGACAACAGCTTCATCAGCCCCCAGCTGCAGCGCATCTTTGAGAGGGTCCGGCAGAGCGCCGACTTCATGCCCCAATGGCAGACGATGGTGAGTGGCTGGGGTGCTGCCTTGGACAGCTCGCAAGGGGTGGTGCCAGGGCTGCCTGTCGGACTACCCCATGGCCCACCTCACCTGCAGAGAGTCCTGGAGGAAGAACTGGGCAGGAACTGGCGGACCAAGATGGCCTCCCTGGAAGAGAAGCCCTTTGCTGCGGCCTCCATTGGTCAGGTCCACCAGGGTGTCCTGCAAGATGGGACCGAGGTGGCTGTGAAGATCCAGGTAGGCCACAGGGCCAGGCGTTGGGGGGGGGGCCAAGGCATCTGGGCCTGCAGCAGAGTCAAGTGTCCCAGTGGTACATGTGCCCCTTCCCCACAGTACCCAGGTGTGGCCCAGAGCATCCAGAGTGATGTGGAGAATCTGCTGGCCGTGTTGAAGATGAGTGTATCCTTGCCCGAAGGTGAGCCTGGAGGGAGGGGGACCTGAAGCCCTTGGAATCCTCGGCCCCCCCAGGGGATAAATTTCTAGACTTGATTCACGTCCTGCCTTTGACATGACCCTCAGCCTCCATTTCCTCATCTGTAAAATGGGGGGTGATGATACCGCCTCCCTCCCAGCTCAATGAGATCATAGTTGTAAAGCTCTTTGCACCCCTTTAAGGCCTGGCACAGGCTGATTGTCATGCCCTTCCTCACAGGCCTCTTTGCTGAGCAGAGTCTCCAGGCCTTGCAGCAGGAGCTGGCGTGGGAGTGTGATTATCGCCGGGAGGCTGCCTGTGCCCGCACCTTCAGGTGAGCAGCAGGCTTTGGGTGCTGCCTGAGCCCTAACCAGGCTTCTCTCCCCAACTGTGGCCCCACACTGCCCAGGCTGGCGGTGGCAGGCGAGGCCTGCGCACACACGCACGCACCAGAGCTTCCGAGAACCAGGAGGCCCCTCATCTGTTCCACGTCTGTCTGGGTCACTGTGCCCACTTATGGACAGTGCCCAGGGAAGGGCAGCCAGGACGGGAGGGGCCTTGAGTCTGTGTCACCTGAGGAACAATTGGAGGAGAGAAGGCTCAGGAAGGGCGTGATCACAGCCGTTTGTGGGGCTTGTCTCGTCCTGTTTCACCCCAGAGAACAGTGGGCAGAAATAGCAGAGGGGTCCTGGCGGTCAGAGCTGGCCTGAAGTGGACATGAGCCTCCCTCTGCCCCAGCGGTCTTCAGGCGGAGGGCTGTGGCCTCCTGGGGTTGGGGGCTGCGAGAGGGGGCCAGCACATGTACTGTTTTAGAGGGGAGGGGAGGGAAGCCCAGAGATGGGAGGTCACATGGGAGGGATTCACTCAGAGGATCCCAGATTTGGTCCTGGAGACGCCATCTCTGGGATGGGCACGAGTCCACCCAAAGGGCAGAACCCTGGGTGACCTTGGTCACTCAGTCAGTAGGTGCTTGAGGCAGAATTCGAATCCAGGACCTGCTGACTCTTGAGCTGGTGTAGTCCACACATCTGGGTGGGTAAGAGAGCCAGAATTTCTCCAGTATTCCTCCCATCTTCCTTCCCAGAGGGACAGATCATAGAACGTAGAACAAAGAGTAGATTTTGAAGGAAGAACGAGAAAAAACCAGGCAAGCTTCTCAGTGTGTCGGATAAACGTGATGTTCCCTGCAGTGCCCCATGCCCAGGACCCCCCCCCCCGCAGAGGGGGTGGGCAGGGGCTGGCCTCGAGCTCTTTTTCACCCAGCACTTACAAAGCGCTTACTGTGAGCTGGGCACAGGGTCAGGAAGGCCTGGATTTCACCTTCCTATGCCCGGGGCAAGTCTAAGACTGTGACCTCAAGGCTGGTACCCCAGGAAATCCCAAGCACTGTGCTGGGCCCTGGCCTCAAGAAGCTCCCGTTCTATCGGGAGGAAGCCAGCTAAGACACACACAGTGTTATGTCCAGAGAGGAGGCCTTGGCTCCCGAGGGAGTGACTGGGAGAGTCCTCGGCCTTGAAGTAAGGCACCCAGGGGTTAAGAAGTAGAGCCCAGGCTGTCTGCCAGGTCACTGCGGGCAGAGCCGGAGATCACCAGACTCCTGTCTAAACCCTTACTTTACCAGGGAGGGAGGGCCTTGCCCAGGTCACACAGCATCTCAGAGGAGAGCAGGCCCCTTCCTCTTCCCACCTTCTGTCCCTGTGACCCACAGGCAGCTCCTGGAAGAGGATTGTTTCTTCCACGTGCCCGCCGTGATCGAGGAGCTGAGCACAGGTCGGGTATTGGCCATGGAGCTCGCCAGTGGGGTGCCCCTGGACCAGTGCCAGCACCTGAGCCAAGATGTGCGGAACCAGGTAAGGGGGACCGAGGGAGACCCATTGAACCCTGTGGGCCTGTGGACGTCTCGTTTAGGGTCCTTGGCAACAGTCAACTCTGGGACCCCCTGAGGGAGGAGGGGCTGTGCAGGTCTGGCAGGGATTGGGGGGGTAACCACAAGGCGAGGGCAGAATCCCTAGGGTCACCCCCTCCCCATCTTGGCCCCCAGATCTGCCGGGAGCTGCTGCGGCTCTGCCTGCAGGAACTCTTTGAGTTCCGATTCATGCAGACGGACCCCAACTGGGCCAACTTCCTGTATGATCGCTCCAGCCACAAGGTGGGTGCCTCAAGACCTGGCTCACGAAGGGGGCACTGGGGCCCGTGTCATTTATCAACCCCTGGCCTCTGCTTCTGCCTTCTGCCTCCATAGGTGACCCTGCTGGACTTTGGGGCAAGCCGGGAGTTTGGGTCAGAGTTCACAGACCACTACATCGAGGTGAGGTTCAGGTACTTGGGTGGAGGGCTCCCTGCCCTTCACCCCTCAGGTTCTTCCTGCCTGCATCATCTTGGTCAGTCTGCCCTTTAGCACAGACCCCCAGGATGGGGCACAGCCTGGGCACTGACGTCTCCCTGGGCGGCAGTTCTGATCGTTAGAAAGTCTTATTATGTTGAGCCAAACCCTGCATCCAGGTGTTGCCCTTGGTAAATCAAGGCCCCCTGAGCCTGCCCATACCAGGGTACCGATGTGCCCTGGGTGTGTTCACAGCACAATGGGGAGACAACAAAGAAGGTAGAGACAGAAAAACTGGAAACAGTAAATAGATTTTACAGAAGAGGAAACTGAGGCTGACAGGTTAAGTAACTGCCCAGGGTCACATAAGTAGTAAGTAACAGGTGAGATTTGAACCCAGGTCACCACCACCAAGGGTTAGTGGTCCCCTGCTGCCTCTATCCAAAGACGTGATTCAGGTGCTGATTGGCTGTGCCAAGCCCAGACCTCCAGACTTCCTTAGTTCCACGTGACTGCCCAGCCAGTCCTGGATCTCCTGTCATCCAGGCCAGCCACAAGCGTATGCCATCTTCTGTGTTAGAATGACGCAGGCAACCTTGGCACTACATGATTCTGGCACTTGAAGGGTAGCGAGCAGTCTCCATCCTTTGTCCGTTTTCACGTTGGTGTTTGCTCTTCTCCGTCCTCTGCTCCCTCTCCTGTTCTCCGTGGTCTCTCGCAGGTCACCCACAGTGCCTCATCCATCCCATCTGCCACCTCCTCCATTTCCTGATGGTGCAGATGACGTGGGCCTGGTGACCCTACTCCCTGTTGCCCATTTTCATCCTGTCCTTTTCCACCCAAAGATCCTTCTCCCGGCAGAGGAAACAGAAGCAACAGGAGAGGGAACCCTCCAAGCTGACTCCATTGGTCATGGCCCAGGCCACCCTGGACAGCAGCGCCATCCCTGCTGGGGTCTCTGCTTTTCCCACCTTGTCGTCCTTAGCTTTCCCCACCATCCTCCCCTTGTTCTTGAAGGTGGGAACCCTACTGGTCCACGCAATGCTAGCATACCCCAGCCTCCTCTGCTGACTCCTTGCCTTGGTAGAAAATCATTCTCCAGACTTTCCCCTCTATCCACTTCATCCCCTCCCCTCCTGCTCCCAGCCTGCTCAGGCCTCCCCTCTCTTGAGCCCTCTGGAAGCCTATCCCCTCGTACTCACAGAAATCTGCCATGTCCCAGAAAACGCTGCAGCCCTGGCCACCCCTACCCCAGCCACTCCTCCATCCCCTTTGCCAGATCCATTGCCCTGGTCTGTGCCTGTGGGCATCCTCCATGACCCTTAGGGTGCCCCTCCTGGTGATCTCCTCAGCTCCACGTAGGTGGTTCCCAGATCTCAGGTTCTAGCTCTGGCCCCCGCACCCTCCTCCAGTGCATCTTCATCTGGATGTCCCATTCCCAATGGAGGCCTCATCCTCCTGCTCGTCCCTCTTAAGCCCACCCTCTCCTTCCAGACGTTCACTCAGTTTGAAATTTCACAGTGGCCATCTTTGACTCCTTGCCCTCATTCACCTCTAACCCAATCAGGTGCCACATGGTGTCCATTCTTCCTCCACCATGTCTCTCACATCCATCCCATTCCTCCCACTCATAGTCACCGCTCATTTTTGGCCTGAATCATCACCTGTGCCCAGACTACCACTGTCTACACCCAGCTGAAAAAACAGTCTTCCAAGGCAGGGCTGTGATCATTTCACTCCCCTGTCCCCCTCCAAAAGAAGGAGGAAGAAGAGCGAAAAAAGTCCTCAAAATCAATTTTGTAGGAAAAATGATTTATCATATTGTTTGGGGAAATTATTATACTCTTTAAATCCAATCCTCTGTGATCAAAGGTTGTTCGCACTCAGAATGTCGCTGGACCCCACTAACTCTCCAAGGATGCTGGCCATGGTTACAAGGTATTTTGGGCTCCCCCAGGTCCTGGGTCTGCCCAAGTCATTCTTGTTTTGCATGCAGGACTTGGGAGGTGAGCCCACCCAAGCTTGTGTTTTGGCTTCGTCCAAATTCTGCTGAACATCTGTGTTTCCCAGTCTGTCTCCATCACCTTGCTTTCTCATTGCCCCCTCAGCAGCTTCTCTTAGCCATGTGGCTATGGCTCTCTCCTGAATCCCAAGCGTGGAGAGAAGGAGCCGCGCCCCCTTCACCAAGCGGGCTCATGCATTCTTTCCAGAACTCTTTCAGATTCAGGGGTAGGCGAACAATGCTTTGCAGCATTCCGCATCCTCACACCCTGCCTTTGGCACGGGTGGCTGGGCCAGCAGTGCTCCTCTGAGCTCGCCTTCGCGGCCGAGCCGACTCATTCTCATTTGGAAACAATCCGTTTGGCTCTCTGCGGCTCTGTTCCCTTCACTCTGCAGCGGTTCATGTTAGCGTCTCCGGGCTTCTCTGCGTCATTTCCTCAGCACTTCTTACTTCACGTCCTAGTCCATCATCTTCACAGCCCAGTTCATTTAGCCATCCCCCTGTCGACGGGCATTGACTTTTTCTTTGACTGTATTTACCCCAAAGAGTTCTCGTCTCAGCATCGTGGTATACGTGGCGCCTGGTTTTTGACCTAGCAGAGGAACCTCTGGGTCAAAGCCTATGGACATGTTAGTCACTTTGATTCCATGATTCCAAACTGCTCTCCAGCAGGGTCGTACCTCACGAGGCACAGCTCCACCAGCAATGCACTGGCGCGCCCACCTTGCCCCGGCCCCTCCACCGCCGACTGACGTTCCCACCTTGTGCCGTCTTTGCCGGTTTGCTGAAAGAGCAGTGAAGCCCAGGGCATGTTTGATTTTGCTCTTCTTTGGATGCCCGTCTGCTCACATCCTTGGCCCACTTTTCTATTGGGAATCCGTCTTCTCTTTAAAATCTCACTTTTCCCGTAGGTTTCGGATGAGGCCATGTGGTTCTCTTTAGCCGTTGCTCTCCTGGCCTCATTGGACCTGCTTCCCTTTGTGTCTCCAGAAGTCCGTTCCTGAGAGGTTGCCATCTCTCCACAGAGTCATGGTCCACGAGGGGCTTCCTATCCCTTCCCTGAACCTTGTACTCTCCTCGTCCAGAAGGCACCCCCTGCTCTGCCTTCCCATTTTCTCTCACAACGGTGTGGTGGAGCCGGCCTTCCCCTGGTCCGCCCCCTGACCCTCCCGCAGGTTCCCATCATGTCCACCCAGCAACCAGATCCTCCCTAAGGCTGCCTCCACCTTTTCCAGGCCAGAGTCATTGTCAAGGCCAGGACTTGTTTTTGATGGCAAGAATGCCCTGGCAGATCCTTGGCTGATTGAAGTCCCCTGTCCCAGCTCTTTCAGGCCTCAGCACCAGGTTTGGGCTGAACTTGCCTCGGCCTCCCCTTTCTGCCCGGGTGGTCTGTGGCACAGCTACCTTTTCTACCTCCTTGGCTCTGGGCCCAAATGCCCTGCACCCTGTTCCTCCTCCTCTTTCCTGGGTTTCCCGTCACTCTCTGACGTTCCCTCTACCCGCCTCCTCTCCTGTTCCTCAGCTCTGCTCCCCAGACCTGGGGTCCTTTCATGGGGCTCAGTGACTGACAAGGTCCCATTTGCCTCCCATTTTCAGATCGCTGGCTCACCTCGCTTGTTAGCTTTCCTGTAGGCATCTGGGCCTGGAAATCTGAGGGCAGGTGTTCTGTTGCGGGCATCTTTTTTGGATTTTGTCTCCTCTGAAATTCTGGGTGTCTCCACATGGTGGCTTCTCTCTGTGGCATCTGGAGGTGATCGTGGAGCAGTACCAAATATTTTGTCCCTAGCTCACCCCCTTCCTTTCCAGATTCTGGCCCCTTTAATTCTGTTTGCTCCAGGAATCCCCCATTAGGGACATTCAGTTCAGCAGCTGCTGTGTGTCTGGCCCTGTGCTGGGCACTGGGGACGTGAGAGCCTTCCGCAAGCTTACATTCTGCTGGGGGGAGACAGATGAGTAAGTAAGAGAAGCAAAGGCTGGTATTTAGGCTTGATCGGCCTCAGTTTCCTCCTATGTAAAATGAATGTAGATTAATGATGACTTTGGGCAGTCTGGCTGGGGATGGGCTGCTTCCCTGGCCTCCCAAGAGCAGGGATCCCTCTTAGGAAGCCAGAGCGAGTCAATAGGGGCAATGCCAGGGGATAGGAGGGTGATGCAAGAGAGAGTTCCAGCATCTGAGATCCAAGATCTGTCTGAGAAGATGGGAAGCCTTATCGGATTGGGTGATTCATCTGGGCACAGAGTGTACAGCAGCAGAAAGGCTGGGAGCTCTTCGGGGCACAGGTGGTATCCGCATCACTGCCCAGAAGGAGCAAGCACCCGGTGAAGATGAAAGCCTGGTGGCCTTCCAGACCGTGGCTTATAAAAAGCAAGGCCGTGCTTTGGGCTGAGGGGACAGTGGTCTGTTCTCCGTCACCCTGGAGCCGGGGCATCCCTGCACCACCTGGGAATGTAAGCCAGGGCCCTCTCCTGGGCCCTCCTCTCAGTGATACGTTCTCCTTCCATGGGTTTCCAGCGTCATCTCTAGGTATGTGACTTCCCAGTCCACGTGGATCCTCTTCTTTCCCCTAAGCCCCAGTGCCACACCCCCAGGACCTCAGGCCAAGCTGCTGCAGACATCACTCCACCCCTCGCCTCTGCCCCCTTCTTTCCACTGGCCTTGTCACCTCAAGTTAGTGCATCTCCTACCCAGCTTCCCTGCTCCCAGGTTCTTCCCTCCCCAGACTGACCTCCACACAAGTTAGCCATGATTCCTGCGCCCAAAGCAGAGCTCTTGTTTGTGTGAGAATCATTAGTGGCTTCCTGCCTCTTGCTTCTGGGACGGACCATCCCCTCCCCGCTTTGGCCCCTGAGGCCTTCCCCACCTGGCTTCAGCCTGCTGCTGTTCCTGAAGATGCTGTGATTGGGAGCAGCTCCCACCAGACACGGACCTGCCATCTCTGCCCTCCATGCCTCCCTCCAAAGGAAGCTGCAGGTGCCCCAGCTTCCAGAGGGTCTTTATTAATCCCCAGGAGCTTAGAGCTCTCCATCACCAAGAAATGGTTTTGGCAGCAGGTGGCCAAGTGGAGAGAGTGCTGGGCCTTCAGGTGCACAGATTCCCCCCCACCCCCCCAAAAAAAAAACCAACCGCCCTCCTTGTCCTCCTCTGCTCCTTCCTTTGGGACAGTCAGACGGCACCTGCGGCCTTGGAGGCCTGGCCAGGGCCACCTTGGAGGCCGAGGCCTGGAGCCAGCTCCCAAGCTCGTCCCTTGGCACGTGGCTGCTCTGCCCCTTCCCTGGCACAGCGTTCTTCCCTCCCCTGGCAGAGGGCGTCCTTGCCTGGCTCGACACTGTAACTGTTCTTCATGGATCCCTGGACCTGGAGAACGCCCTCAGGCCCCTCATGCCTGTCGTCCATGAGGGAGAGCCACATGCACCTTGAGCAGAGGTGGTGGGAATCCTCCCTGCCACACCTTCCCTACGCCATGCTTTATGGGACAGCCTCTCGCCTTTAGGTGTTGGGGGCAGAGATGGTGAGGTCGGGTTTTTGAACTGCTATGTGGACATCCATAGGGGCAGAGGGAGGACGTGGCTGGAGAGTCTCCCGGAGTCATGTGCAGAAAGGGCAGAGTCTGAAGTCCTAGGAATTGGCAAGGGGAGGGTCAAGAGGGCAAAGCCCAGGATCTGAAGGGACACTGCCCTGAAGGCCCACCGGAAACCAAGGTCTGAACTCGTTAAGCACCTACTGGGAAGCCCTGGGGGAGGGTGTCCAGTAGAGGAGCCAGGGAGAAAGCCACATTAAATTGCAGGGGCCTGAGCAGAGAGTTGTTGTAAGGGTTGTTAAGGCCATGGTGCACAGAGCACTGGCCTGCAGGGTTCAAATCTGCCCTCGGACACTTACTATCTGTGTGACCCTGGGCAAGTCACTTCACCTTGTTTGCCTCAGTCTCCTCATCTGTAAATGAGCTTGAGAAGGAGATGGCAAACTACTCCAGTATGTCTGCCAAGAAAACCCCCAGTGGAGTCACAAAGAGTCAGACATGACTCAGTAGCAGCAGTAGAGAGTGGGGATGGTGGTGCAGATTGCAGTGGTAGACATCATCCAGAACTTTGTTAATAAAGAGGAAGAGAGATGGGGCAGAAGGATGGCAGCTTCAGGGCTAGAAAGAGCCTCAGAGGCTGTCATTTAATCTAGCCTCCTTGTTTCATAGATGGGGAAACTGAGGCACAGCAAGGTGACAGGACTTGGTATATGTGGGTAGCCCAGCTGGAATTTGAACCCAGGTCCTCTGCCTTCCTGTTCTGTGTTATCTTCATGTGTAACAAGCCGTGCTGGCCCTGCCTTTACCCAAGGAATGAACACAACTGTTGAGGGGGCCTGGGGCCTCCCTTGGTACCCTCCTCACACACCCCCCCCCGACCCAGTAGCAGAGCTCACATTGGAGCGCGGGGCCTGTCTCCCAATGGCGTGTGCCTTGCCCCAGGCTGGCGGGGGATGAGCCCCTCTGCAGAGCAGGGATGATGCACCCTGTCTGTGGGCAGACGGAAGTAGTGGGTGCTGGGAGCCAAGGAGTGCGGAGGAGGCCATGGGAGGGCAGTGAAGGCAGTTCCCGTCAGATGGCCTTCATTGTCTCAGCAAAGTGGGAGGGTGAATGATGAGCTCTAAGTGTGACGCTTGGGGTTGGGGCGGGCTGACGAGGGTGCCTGTGGAGAGGGAGAGGGGGTACAGATGAGAATAGTCACTCCCCCACCCTCACATGGTTCCTATGGGTGCCTAGTCTGGCACTGAGGCCCTTCCCCACCTCTGAAATGCAGTTTTGGTTCTCTGGAAGGGGGCAGGGGGACAAGTACAGATTCAAGTCAGATCCCCATTCCGAGGCTTTCCTGTCTGAATGACCTTGACCAGGTCCCTTCAGTTCCTCCTCTGTAATACGAGGGGGTTGGAGTGATTACCTCTAAGGCCCTCTGTCCTGGATCAGTGAGGACTTTGCACTTATCTCTGATCTTGGCTGGAATTTGGGCAATCTGGCTGGAGATGAGCTGCTTCCCTGCTCCCCTCTCCCTAGCCCTCCAAAAGCCGGGAAGACTGGGAGAGGAGCCATGGCTAGATTAGGTTCTCCTCTGTGAAGCCAGAGGAGGTCAGCAGGGGCAGTGCCCTCCTGAAGGAAGGACCCCTGGCTGGGCCCAGGGTGTCTCTTGAGTGAGGGGCTCAGAAGGCAGGTATAATCTGCCCAGAGACAGCAGAGGCCCCCCCCCCTTCTTGCCCTAGTCTTGACCCCTCTGACTGAGCTTGGGTCATTCTTTCCAAATCCCTAGGTGGTAAAGGCTGCTGCAGATGGTGACCGGGCTCGGGTCCTAAAGAAATCGCAGGACCTGAAATTCCTGACAGGTTTGGAAACCAAGGTGAGGGTAGTTGGGAGAGGTGGGGGTGAGGCAGGTGCCTTGCCCCCCAAAGCCTTCCTAACTTCTGTACTCCCCCAGGCATTTTCGGAGGCCCATGTGGAAGCAGTCATGATCCTAGGGGAGCCCTTTGCCAGTGCTGGCCCCTATGATTTTGGGGCAGGCAATACGGCACGCCGAGTGCAGGATCTGGTCCCCATAATGCTTCGCCATCGGCTGTGCCCCCCACCAGAGGAGACCTATGCCCTTCACCGAAAGCTGGCTGGGGCTTTCCTGGCCTGTGCCCGACTCAGGGCTAACATCCCCTGTGGGGACTTGTTCCACGAGATTTATGAGCATTACTGGGCTCTCCGACCCTCAGGCTAGTTCTGGTCCTCCAGGAATCACTCCGAGCCCTCACTCCAGGACCTAAGGACCTGATGCAGGAGTCCTCAGGGTCCCTTCAGTGACTCACCTTGGGACCATCCCAAGAGCTCCCAGAAACGTCCAGGGAGCCCCTTACTAGGTCTGAGACTCATCTGTCTCTACTGGTCCACAGGGCTTCCAGCTACTTCCAGCCAGGCCAGGGGGAACCCCTAAGGGGCCTCCCCCACACACATACCCTCTGGAACTTAGCTGATCACCCTCTCTCCCTCCGGTTCTGAGCCCCAACCCAGCCCCCATCTAAGGGAGTGGAGTTCCAGATGGCCTGTATGCCTGGGTCCTCCCACCCCCACCAGCTGTCTTCAGGCCCAATGGGCAGTGCATTCAGTGATATCCTAAATAAAGGGGAACCACCCTCCCTCTCTCCTACCCCTTCTCATTTTCTGGTATTGGGGGTGGAGTGGGGTTGAAAAGATGGGCGAGGCTTCTGGGAGTGGGGACTCCAGGTGCAGATGGCCTGGCCAGGCTTGCCCCTCCCCCCCCCCCAGTGCTGAAAAGCCCAAGCCCCCAACCATCTGTTGCCAAAGGGACAACCTCCCTGCCCCCCACGTGCTGGCCACCTGCTCTGCCAGCTGACAGCCTGGCCCCTACCCCCCCCAATATCCCAGCTTCCTCTGATGGGGCTGGGGGACACACAGGGGGCACAGCTGGGCCCTGGGGACTAGAGAAGAGGAAGAGGGTTGGGGGTGTAATGGGAGGCCTCTAAGGCAGGGTCCCTTCTCTGCTCGCTGTTGGCCAAAGGGAGCTAGCTTGGTTGAACAGGCCAGCCTGCTAATGGATCTTAATGCTGAGGCCTGGCAGCAGTTGCCAAGCCCACAGGATAAGGGGGGCCCCCCGGAGCTGCCGCAAACAACCCCACCCACCTCCCAAAGGCTCAAAGTTGCCTTTTCCAGACATATTCCCCCACGACCAAGGTTCCCCCAAGCACCAAGGGGCTGCAGGAGCAGGTGAGGGCCCTAAAATCAGGCTTGGCCAGAAAGATTCCCAGAACCCTGATCCACACCGCCATCTAAAAATGTGCCCTCAAGTCTCCGCCCCCCCCCCAAGTTGGGGAGCTCGGGGTTAGAGGCTGGACAAGAGAAGCTATTGTGGACTTCCCGATCGAGGAGTCCTGGAGTCAAAGGGCACAGTGGAGCGGAACCCAGGGATTGGCTGGGCAAGGCCTGGAAGAAGCAACTGTTACTGACAAATATTTTCGGGGGGCGGCCCAGGGCGGGGTTTAGGAGCGCAGGGGGAGGAGGGACTGTTTTGCATATTGATCAGGCGCTGGGCCAACGGGCGGTGTCTTTTACATACTGAGTGGGCGGTGGGCCAGTATGGGGGAGGTGGGCTCTGTTGGGGAGATTGAGCGGGCAGCGGGCCAACGTGGGGGGTACGGGGCGTGCCCAGGCGGCTGGGTCGGACGTGGCGGCGGGGAGGGCTAGGTCTTCTTTTGCATATGGAGCTGGCGGCGGGCCAATGGGCGGGGATGGGGGCGGGGTTTTGAGGGCGAAGGGGGCGCTGTGAGGGGGAGTCGGGGCTGGGGCGGGGGGGGTAGCCCCCCCAATGGAATCCTCCCGGGAGCCGAGCAGGCGCGTGCGTGTGCGGCCCCCACCATCCCCCGGCCTCCGTCCCTGTGCCCGGACTCCGTCAGTCGGCGCCGCTGCTGCAGAGCTGTCCCGGGGCCGGGCCGGGGCTGGAGGGAAGCAGGGCCCGCCGGGGTCCGCGGGAGGCGGGGGCGCCGGGGCCCCTGGATGTCCCGGAGTGCGGCGGCAGCCCCCGAGAGGAGCGGAGCGAGCGCAGTAAGCGGCCTGCGTAGTGGGGTTGGGCCGGAATGGGATGGGATGGGGTGGGGTGGGGTGGGGTGAGATGGAGTGAGATGGGATGGAGTGGGATGAAATGGGGGGACCCGGGGATGAAGGGACCCCAAGGAGGGCTCGGAGAAGGGGAGACGCGAAGGCTGGGGTGCTGCGAGGAGGCCGGTGGATGGGAGGGGGGCTTCGCAAAGACAGCGCCCCGGCCCCCCTCCCCATCCAGCCCCCGCCCCTTTGTCCCTACCCGGGCTGTCCTCGGCTTCAGCCCAGCTGTTGTGGAGGCGACTCCGTAAGGGCCCCACCCGCGGACAATGCGGGCCAGCCTCCCCCCCACCCCAATCCGGTCTGATCCGATCCGACCCGACCCGGGAGGCCCATGGACAGGAGGGACCAGAGACGTCTCCCTGTCACCTGTCACCTTCAGCATCACTAGCCCCCTGCCCTCGAAGCCAGCTGTGCTGGACGGATGTCTCCGCCTGCTCTTGGGTGCCCTGTGTGATCGTCCTGGGGTGTGTGTGTTGTGTGTGTGTGTGTGTGTGTGTGTGTGTGTGTTCCATGGCTGTAGTGATGTGCTTGTGTGGCTGGGATGGTATCTGTACCTCTGTGGGTTTAGTGATCTCTCCCTGGGCCTATGTGTGAGGGATAACGTGTGATCTTGTATCCTGTGCTGCAATCATTGTAGATTTCTGTGATTGCCTCTATTCTGCCTGCGGGAGTCTGTGCCTGTATGTTTGTGTGTCTGCGATCATGTGTGGCTAATAGCTAAGGCTGTGTGTCAGGGTGGTTGTAGCTTACAGGCCTCGAACTGTGTCTGTGTGCTGGGTTTGTGTGACTGCTTGTCTGTGTGGGACTGTGGGTGCCTGTGGGATTGCAGCTCTGTCACCCAATCTGTGTGTGGCTGTCCCTCTGGGAGAGTGTCTGTCTCGCTAAGGGTGTGTCTTAGTTGAAACAGACCCAGGCTTTCTTTCTGTACCCCCAAAGCTCCCAGCCCCTTCTTTTCCCCTAAGGGGCTGAGCCATGCTCATTTCTGGGCCCACACCCTATCTAAGATAAAAACTAAATGGGCCACTGTCAGCCAGGCCCATGGAAAGGGGTGTCCCTGAGAGATAACTGGGGTAACTAGGAGGGTACAGCACCCCCCCACACACCCTTACCCCCTCATTCCTGGGGCCTCTTAACTATGGGAATGGTCTCCCTGGTAACTGCTGCTGTAGCAACCAGGGCAGGAGTCAGACAGGCCAAGGCAGCAGGGGCAGGCCTCCTTGGTCCCTTCCAGGGGCCTATGCCAAAGGTCACAGAGGTGGAGCAGGGGTTAGTGTGTTCCAGGCAAGGGGAGCCCCATGAGATAAGCGAACCCCAGGCCCTCACATCTTGGTCCTGTGTCTGGGCAGGAAAGGCCCAGGAGGGCCGATCAGCGTTTGTCCTCAGCCCCTCCTCGCCTGGCCCTGGGGCCCCCCCAAACCTTCAGGACGGAGCCCGGTGAGTGAGTGCAACAGAGTCTGATGGGAAGCAGGGCTTGGGGAAAGCCCATGGCAGCCAGGGAGACTGAGGGAGGTGTCTTAGGAGGGAGCCGGGAGGGAGGCAAAGTCTATAGGGAAGAGCCCCCATGGAAAAGCTCACACCCTACCTGGGGAAGGCTAGTGCCCAATCAGTAGAAATGATACATATGGTGTCTGAGCCCCTCAGCTGCCTCCCCGGTGGTCCTTGGGCAGATGCAGCCATCGGAAGCCACATGCCCAGAACTAAGACCCCCCACAATCACCGCCCCTCATTTCACCAACACTGGTGCTCCAACCCCTGGCCCCTGACCCTGAGGACCCTCCTTGCCCCCAGACGGCGCTGGCACCATGAACAAGCTGCGTCAGAGCCTACGGCGCAGGAAGCCAGCCTATGTCCCTGAGGCTTCCCGCCCGCACCAATGGCAGGCCGATGAGGATGCTGTTCGGAAGGGCAAGTGCAGCTTCCCAGTCAGGGTGAGAGTGGGGGGCACCAGGGCGGGGCCACGGGAACATCTGCTGGGCAAGAGCTCTGGGCTCCCAGAGGAGTTGGGAGAGCAATGGTCTAGTTCCTGTCCTGTGTACAAATTCCTTCTCTGTGTTAGACCTCAGTTTCCCCATATATAAAACAAGGGAATTGGGCTGGATGACTCCAGGGTCCTTGCTAGCTCTGACAATCTGCAACCCAGGATAAGATGAGGGATGAAGAGATGGGGGATGAATGGACTGAGGAGATGGGAGATGATGGGATGGAGAGATTGGGATGAAGGGATGGAGAGAGGAAGAATGAAGAAATGGAGAGAAAAGAGGTGGAAAATAGAATGAGAATGAAGAGATGGGGATGAAGGGATGGAGAGAAGTATGAAGAAATGGAGAGGAGAGATGGAAGATGGGAATGGAGGCAGGAGGGATGGAGAGATGGGGATGAAGGGATGGAGGCAGGAGGGATGAAGGGATGGAGAGATGGGGATGAAGGGATGGAGGCAGGAGGGATGAAGGGATGGAGAGATGGGGATGAAGGGATGGAGGCAGGAGGGATGAAGGGATGGAGAGATGGGGATGAAGGGATGGAGGCAGGAGGGATGAAGGGATGGAGAGATGGGGATGATTGCTCTACATGACATTTGCATAGCTCATTAAGCTTTGCAAAGTGTTTTATATACATTATCTCACGTGATCCTCACAATAGCTTTCTGAGATCGAAGGTGTTATTATTATCCCCATTTTACAAATGAGGAAACTGAGGTTGAATGCAGTTAATCCACCCGCCCAGGGTCATATAGCTAGTTAGAATCTCAGGTAGAATTGGAAGCCAGGTCTTACGGGCTCCCAGCCTAGTGCGTGAAGAGCTAGGGCATGGGGAGGAATGGAGAGGTGAAGAGGAAGGCAGTGAGAAAATAGAGAGGGACAGGATGGACCAGCAGGGGATAGGGGACTGGGGAGACAGGAACCGAGTTGGTTCGTGCTGGAGGTACCATCCTGGCCCTCTTCCTCCCTCCCCTAGTACCTTGGCCACGTAGAGGTGGAAGAGTCCCGAGGCATGCACGTGTGTGAAGATGCCGTGAAGAAACTGAAGGCGGTGAGTGAGAATCCCTGATTAGCATGCCTGGCTTCTTTAAAGACAGCTCAGTCACCATCTGGTCCCTGACACTACCCCCCCACCCACCCAACTCCTGCCCCGCCCCTGGCACCACCTCCCACCATTGTTATCTCGATCTGTTTTGTGTTCCTTTTTAGAGCTGTCTATAGACATTATACATACATATATGTATATGTGTGTGTGCACATGTGGTCTCCTGCCACAGAATGTAAGCTCTTTGAGGGCAGGGGCTGTCTCACTTTTGTCCTTATCCCCAGGGCCTAGCAGAGTCCTTGGCACACTGTAGGTACTTAATAAGTGAGAGAGTAAGTACTCATGACCCAGAGCCAGGCTGGGAGAGCAGTGCCCCCCCCATCCCAATTATTCTTCTCATCCTAGTCTTCCTTTCCTTCCCTCAGACTGGGAGGAAATCCGTGAAATCTGTGCTGTGGGTGTCGGCAGATGGGCTACGTGTGGTGGATGACAAAACCAAGGTATTCCCCTCCCCCCCACCCTGTTCCTATTCCCATCCTCCTCTCTGGCCCTGATACTACATGCCCAGAAAGGATTCCCTCCCCACGCCTCTCCAGCTGATACCTGTGTCTCATATCTCTCTGGGCAACCTGGTCTACTTAATGGAAAGAGGCTTGGACAGTAGGACAGTGTCCAGTTCAGCCCAGCTTACTCTGTGACCTTGGACAAGTCTCTTTCCTCCTCTAGGTCTTAATTTCTCTACTTGTAAAATGCAGGGCTTGTATTCTAGTTGCTAAAGTCTCTTCCAGCCCTGATATTTTTTAAAAAAAATTGCTCTAAGGCCTTCTCCTGTTCTAGAGAATATGTACCATTTGTTCTGAAAAAAAAAAAATGATGTTCTTAAAAAAACATATATTCTAAGGGCCTCTCTTGCTCAAATGCCCTGTGTCTGCTGCCCTGACGACCTTTCTCTGTCCTCCCTTCTAGGACCTGCTGGTGGATCAGACCATCGAGAAAGTCTCATTCTGTGCCCCCGACCGAAACCTAGACAAAGCCTTCTCCTACATTTGCAGGGATGGCACCACCCGACGCTGGATATGCCACTGCTTCCTGGCACTCAAGGACTCGGTCAGTGGCCCTGGAGCCATAAAAGACCAACCTGGTCCCCCTGGAATCCCAGTGGAAATTTCTGGAAATTTATTAAGCACCTACTACGTATAAGGCACTGTATTGCCTGCTGGAGGGAGATACAAGGACAAAAATGAAAACACAGCCCCCTGAGTAGTTTACAATCTACCTTGAGGGACTCAATGAGTACACAGAAAAGTAAATACAGAGCATACAAAATAACACAAAATAATCTCTGGAGGAAAAGGGCACTAACAACTGGAAAGGGGCAGGAACAGAAAAGACATCATTGGGTAGGAGATGGGACCTGAACAGTGCCTTAGAGGCCACTAGGTAGCACAGTGGGACCAGCCTCAGACACCAGCTGTGTGATGCTGAGTAAGTCCTTTGACTCTATCTGCCTCAGTTTCCTCAACTGTTGTTATGAGGATCAAGTGAGCTGATGTTTGTAAAGCGCTTAGCATAATGCCTGGAATACAGTAGGTGCTTAATAAATGTTTGTTCCACCCCCCACCCCCACCCCCCAAGCTAGGGATTACAAGAGGAGAGAGTGCATGCCATACTAGCTGTTCGGGGTGCTGAGTATGGGGTACAGTGACGAGGCTCCTTTAGCTGGCCTGGAGAAGTCACAGAGGAGAATTCTCTGAGTTAAGCCTGGAAACGGAGGTGGGAGCCCACCTCCTACCTTGTGGGCAGCTTTTACTGCCGCCGTGAGGGTCCAGCAGCCTCTGGTCAGCCCAGGCTAAAAGACTGGCCAACTCCCCTTTGGCTAGCACACCTTCCCTTGTGGCTGGAGGGCTCTCGATCCCCACCTCCGATTCCTGGGATCCTTTGGCTTCTCCAAAGCTCAACTCAAGAGCCATCTATTGCCAAAATCCAATCCCCTCCTCCATTTAATCACTTTCAATTATTTATAATAGATACCATATGCAATAGATACAATATACCAGTGAGTGGTGTATATATAGAGATACAATATAACATAGAGACAGCATGATACATATATACATAGAGAATCTATATTATATGTATTTCATATATATGTATAAATTTGTAGGGGGCAGCTAGGTGGCACAGTGGATACAGTGCCAGGCCTGGAGTCAGGAATGACTCACCTTCCTGAGTTCAAATCCAGCCTCAGACTGGCTGTGTGACCCTAGGCAAGTCACTTAACCTCGTTTACCTCAGTGTCCTCCTCTGTAAAATGAGGTGAAGAGGGAAATGGCAAACCACTCCAGGATCTTTGCCAGGAAAACCCCAAATGGGGTCGCGAAGGGTTGGACACAACTGAAAAACAACTGAACAACAATAATACGTATATACGTATGCATTATATGTATATGTGTATGTGTATGTGTGTATCACAGCAAATGTCAGCATGGTATCACTGCACATACAAACTGGCCTCAGAGGCAGGGAGGCCTGGGTGGGAGCCCCAACTCGACCATCTATTGGGCTGGATGTTTAATCTCTTGGTGCCTGACGGGCTCCAAGCCCATCGATGTGAGCTGGGGGCCCTCTTCTCCCCAGGAGCTCCCCGACCTGCCCCCTCATTGATGCATTGACTTGGCTGGCTGCATGCTACTCCCTGGCCCCCACCTAACAGATGAGGGAGGGGCTGCCTCCTTCTTGTCCCTGCTTCTCCACCTCCCAGCCTAAGCATTTTCTGGGCGCAGACCACACTAGATGGCCCAGGGTTAGGGGGATTTGGGGTGGAGATGCAAAGTCTCCATAGGCTTCCTGCCCTCTTGGGGCTCACAGCCTAGTGGGCTGCTGAGATATGAGCAGAAGTAACTGGACAAATACGAGTGGTATGCAAAGTCCTAGGGACCCTGGGGCAGGCTACCTCAGTTTCCTCATCCTTAATGTGGGGTTGGGCTCAGTGGCCTGTGAGGTCCTTCCAGCTCTGGATCTGTGCTTGTATCTGAGTTGCGTTTTAAAGGATTCAGCCAGCTGAGGTTGGGGGGGTGGGGGATGAAATGTGGAGCGGGTAACATTTCTGGCAGGCCATAGGAACCGTATGAGCCAAGATAGGAAGACACAGTGCTCTTTTGGGGAGCAAAATTCCAGATTGACTGGAAGACAGTGTAGAGGAAAAAGCAGTATGGGAAATAGAGTAGGGACAGATAGCAGAAGGCCTTGCGTGCCAGGCAAAAAAAAAAAAAGCCTTGAATGTCAGACCTTAAATCACCCCACTGAGCATGTCCCAGACAGACCCTCTACCCTAGACTTTTCCCTGAGACACGCCTGATCCAGAGTGGTCCTTCCAAGGCCTTGTCCATCTCCTTCATTATTCAGATAGGGTAAACTGAGGCCTGAAGAGGGGACTCACCCAAGGTTGCACAGATAGCTGTAGGGCTAGAAGGAACCTCGGAGGTCCAGGAGTCTAATCCTCTCACTTTACAGAAAGGGAAACTGAAGTCTAGGGAGGGACAGTGACTTGTCCGAAGTCACAAAGGTAAGGCATCGGAGGAGGCATTTGAATGGAGGTCCCTCTGAATGAGACTCTATTCACTCTGCCAAACTGCTTCCAGGATCATTCTCTTCACCTTCTGCTTAGCCCCCTCAGCACCGAAAAAGAATCAATATAAAGTCCTCTATTAGACTTCCCAATAATCCATTTCCCCTTTCCACTATGGCTGTGGTATGGTTGGACAGCACTGCAGACTCTCCCAGACTACAGATGCCACCCAAGTCAGCAATGGGCTGTGGCAGCTTGGCATTCGGTGCTGAAGGACCCATTCTAGAGGGGATCGAGGCAGGCTTGGGGACATCTAGAGGAGGGCGGCCAGCAGGGCTCCCAGCGCCAAGCCCAGGCCTCCTGAGGACCAGTGGAAAGAATGTGGGTTGTTTGTCCAGGCTGGGGTCTTGGCGCAGGACCCCCAAGACTGCTGTGTTCAAGAAGCCCAAGGCCTCAGCTTCTGCCTGGTCTCGAAGGGAAGGAAGAGCTAGGAGCAACGGCTGAGCAGAGAGAAGAGGCAGCCCTTGGCATAGCTAAAGGACAAGCTAGGTGACTACTGGAGGCGTCTCCCAGGCCGCCTTAAGGCCAGTAGCAGTCTCCCAGGAAAGGCTTCAGGGCTATCGCTTATTATTTTGCAGAGGGGCGTCTTGGTCGTGGCCAAGCTTGCTGCAGTGGTGGCCACGGAGGTCCCATCTGGCTCCAATGAGGCCATTGTGGGTCCCTGGCCTCTCCCTGACCCTGGTTCTCCCCTGTTTCTCTGGGCCCCTGCAGGGTGAGCGGCTGAGCCACGCTGTGGGGTGTGCCTTTGCTGCCTGCCTGGAGAGGAAGCAGAGGAGGGAGAAGGAGTGTGGGGTCACAGCTGCCTTTGATGCCAGCCGCACCAGCTTTGCCCGGGAGGGCTCCTTCCGCCTCACTGGGGGTAGCCGGCCCACTGAGCGGCAGCTACCAGAGAAGAAGAAAGGTGGGTGGCCCGGCCTGGGAAATGAGCCAGGAATACTGGGAGGTCCAGGGGGGTGGCCTTCCTGGGAGGAGTGTCAGAGAAGTTCAGCAGGAGAGAGAAGCTGGGGGCCTTCCTGACAAGGCAGCGGCTGAGCCCTGCAGGCCCGAGAACGTTGGGAGAGGAGAGAGACGGGAAGGTATCCATGTGAGAAGGGAAGGGGCAGAGTTCTGCCTAAGCAGAGTCTCAGGGGGTGCTGGCTAGAGGATCACCTCACTTCCCTCTGCCTCATGCCCACGACAGCGGAGGCAGCCGCCGTGCCCGCCGTGCCCACCCCAGGCCCTGCCCAGCCAGGTCACATGTCCCCAACCCCTGCGGCCACATCACCCGGGGAGAAGGGAGAAGCAGGTGCGCCAGGGCCAGCTCCTCCGGGCCCCGCGGCCGCTGCCATCCCTCGGCGCCACGCGCCCCTGGAGCAGCTGGTGCGCCAGGGCTCCTTCCGGGGCTTCCCTGCCCTCAGTCAGAAGAACTCGCCCTTCAAAAGGCAGCTGTCTCTGAGGCTCAATGAGTTGCCCTCCACCCTCCAGCGGCGCACGGACTTCCAGGTGAAAGGCACAGGTGAGAGGGAGGCTGTGCCCAGCAGAATGGGGCACCTGGCTGGGCACGGGGGGCAGTGGTTAGAGAGAGAAGCTGGGGGGCAGGGAAGTGGTGGGGTGTATGGCCAGGTGGCCAGAGGAGAGGCTGAGGCTGAGGGACCCCTGGGAGGTGGGAGGGCTCGGAGACAGGCATGGGTGTGGAAGGGGTGGACCAGAGGGCCGAAGAATCACAGACTTAAAGACTTCGAGAGATCTTAAAGGTTGTCTCATTAATTTTACAGATAAGGAAACTGAGGTCAGAAGTTAAATGAGCTGTATGCCCAGTCAAGGCACTAGGGGGCACCATAGAGCACAGAGCACCAGGCCTGGGGTCAGGAAAACCTGAATTCAAATGCAACCTCAGACCCTTCCTAGCTGCATGACCCTGGGCAAGTCACTTAACTCTGGTTGCCTCAGTTTCCTCATCTGTAAAATGAGCTGGAGAAGGAAACGGCAAACCACTCCAATATCTCTGCCAAGAAAAATGGGGCCCCAGAGCCATCAGGGCCCCAAAACAGAGAATGTTGGAGCTGGGAGGGAAGCTTAGAGCTTTCAGGCCAACCCTGCCCTCTTTGCACAGATGAGGTCAGAGCAGGCAAGGGGTGTGCTGTAGATGGTCTACTAAGAAAAGGCAGAGCAGGGCTTAGAACCTCACTCTCCTGATTCCCAGACTGAGGCTCCTTTCTAGTCCCCTCCTTTCTTCTTTTTTTTTTCCATTTGAAAAAAATTTTTTTAGGCAATTGGGGTTAAGTGACTTGCCCAGGGTCACACAGCTAGTAAGTGTCAAGTGTTTGATCTGAGGCCACATTTTAACTCAGGTCCTCCGGACTCCAGGGCCAGTGCTGTATCCAATGCACCACCTAGCTGCTCCCCCTCCTTCCACAAAGGGGGAAACTGAGGCACAGCTGTCTCTTGGGCACACAGGGAGTCGTGTGCTTAGAGTCCTCCTGGTCCCCCTTCTCTCTGCCCTGGGCTCTGTGTCCCCAGCCGGCACACGGCCTGGCCCCTAAGAGGGGATCGATGGATGCTTGTTGAAAGGCTGAATATGTAGCTAATTGTCTCTGTCCCTTCCTGGCAGTGCTGGAGATGGAGCCCCCAGGGGCCAGTGACAGCGACGGCATCAATGCCCTGTGCACACAGATCAGCTCCTCCTTTGCCAATACGGGTGCCCCTTTGCCGGGGCCCCAGCCCTCAGCTGCAGGTAACGCCTCGTGTCACCTGGGGGGGGGGGCCCTGAGCCTTGCCCCGTTGTGCCCATCTGCCTGCATCCCTCCTTCCCCAGGGACCTCCACCTGGACGGAGCCAGCTCTGCCCGCACCACCATCGGGGCACAAGAGGACACCTTCGGAGGCGGAGCGGTGGTTGGAGGAGGTGGCCCAGGTGGCGAAGGCTCAAAGGCAGCAGCAGCAGCAGCAGCAGCAGCAGCAGCAGCAGCAGCAGCGGCTGCCAGGGCCCAGGCCCCCTGCTGCACCCGCCTCCTTGCCGCCGGCTCTCCAGCCCTTCCCCGCTGCGCCTGCCCCCATGGCGGTTTTCCTGCCCGCCCCCCACATGCAGCCTGCCTTTGTGCCCACCTATCCAGGCCTGGGCTACCAACCGGTGCCCCAGGTGCCCGTGGTGGGCATCACACCTTCCCAGATGGTTGCCAATGCTTTCTGCTCCGCTGCTGCCCCCTCGGCCACCCAGCTCCAGCCTTCGGCCCTGGCTGGGAAGGCTGCCCCCTGCCCCCCACCGCCACCCCCTCGACCCAATGGGGCCCCCTGGCCTCCTGAGCCTGGACCACCCCCAGCCCCAGAGGCGGACCGCTTCGAGGCTCAGTGGGCAGCACTGGAGGGGAAGCCCCAGTCTGAGCGGCCATCAAACCCTTTTTCCGGAGACCTCCATAAGACTTTTGAGATTGAGCTGTAGCCTGGGGGCCTAAGCCTGTGGGCACCCTTCTGTCCAGCCCAAGTATCTCTGTACATCTCCCCCCTCCATCTGCCCAGCTCCATGTTCCCTGGGGCTGAACCTCCCACCCTCGTCCTCTCCTCTCCCTTCTACCCACATTTGTCCAAAGGGAAGAGTTCATATTCGGGTCTTGGGTGGCAAAGGGGGGGGTGTAATTCAGGGATGGACCCATGTCACTGCCCCTTAGAACACAAAATTGGCCTAGCACTGCCCTCCTTCCTTCTCTTCTGATGTCCTGGGGGAACAGGGGCTGTGTCTCTCCTCTCCCTGTCCCCCCCTCACAAGTAAGAGTTATTTTCTTCTGTCTGCTCCCCTGGCCTGGGGGTGGAGGGATGGTGTGTGAGGGGAAAGATGCCTGCCCCTGGGGTCCATGCCTGAGCACAAGACAAGGGGCTCCCCCCCCAGCCCAGCCTGCTGCCACTGCCAATGCCCAGGGGACATCCAGGCCTCCCCCTCTTGCCCAGGGCTGGGGGTGAGGGAGAGGGAGAAGTGAAGCGAGTATGGGGCCTGCACAGAGCCTGGGCGGGTTCGGGGAAAGCTGCTCAGTTACCTCACTTCTGTGCCCGCCTCTGAGGCAAGAGGGGAGCAGGGAATGGATGCCCGGCGGGCACAGGGGCTGCGCCCATCACCGCCTGGACTTTTCTATCTTTTATCTCCAGATTTTTTTTTTATCTAAACCTGCAGATTTGTATTATACAATGAGAGCCAATAAAGGAGGAATATAAAGAAGCCTGGGGGAGGGGGGGGGAATCCTGTCTGTGTATGTCCAGGCCTGGGGGGAGGGGCAGGAAGGTTGAGATGTCAAAAGGCAGGGAACCAGGTTCCTGGAACCCCAGGACCATGCCTCCATGGAGCAGGTTGGGAGGGTCTACTTAACAGTGCATGGCGTGGTGGAAGAAGGCCTGAGTGCAGACCCAGAAGTCCCCGGTGGAGCTGCCGGGAGAGGTAGAAAGGAGGAGGTTAGGATATTATCTGAGCAATCAGACAACCAGCATTTTTTAAGCACCTCTAGACACTGTGTCAGATGCTGGGGGTATCAAACAGTCCCTGCCCTCAAAGAGCTTACATTCTATCAGAGGAGGCCATTGTGCACCAATCAATAAATATACACAGGAGGCAATTGAGGAGGGGAAGAAAGGGGCTGAGAATCAGAGAAGGCTTCATGTTGGCCCTGGAGCCAAATCCTTAGGTGTGGATGTCACCTCACCGCAACCTCAGCATGACCCTGGGAGGTAGGTGTCATTATTATCCCCATTTAACAGATGAGGAAACTGAGGCAGAAGAAGCTAGTAAGGGTCTGAGGCTGGATTTGAACTTGGGCCTTGCTGCCTGGAAAGCCAAGGTGCTGTCTCCTGTGCTACCTAGGAAAGAGCCCTGAAGAGACCTTCCAAAGAGGGGTCAAATCCCTGCCCTGCTCCTCTGAGGGGCCTGGGAAGAAATCCTCTGCGGATTTATGGAGTGAGCCTCCCCTGTGTGACCCAAGGGCCTCACTGAGCCTCAGTTTGCTTATCTAAAAAACCCCAGCTAGATGAGAGAAGGTCTCTACCATCTCTCTCAGTTCTAAATCACTTTGGACTGTTAGGCTTTTCCACGGGACTATGAATATTTGACATTAACCCCATTTGGCCCTGGAGAGCTAGAACGCCCTCATGAGGTCGGGTCAGTGGTATGGAAGAGGGGGTATAGTGTTTAGAGGACCAGCCTCGGAGACAAAGGACCCGAGTTCAGATCTATCCACCAAGGCTTACTTCAGCTAAATCAACTACCCTCCCTGCCTCAGTTTCCTCATTTGCAAAATGGACAAACTGGGCTCTGAGGGCCTTGTGACTCCTGGTCCGTCACCTCGTAAGTGACAGATTGTGGTTTGAGGAGGACTTTACATAGGACTTTATCATTTGGGCCTCACAACAACCTGGGAGGTAGGTGCTCTCACAGTCCAAGAAACTGAGGCTGATGTTAATTGGCATTCTCAGGGTCAAACAGCTAGTGCTGGAGGCTGGATGGAAAGCCTAGGGCCTCCTAAGTCCAAGGCTGGTTCTCTAGCTGGAGGCAGGAGCACTCCCCTCTGAGGCTTAGCACCCACTGTCCCTGGGCCACTCAGCCTCACTTTTCTCATCTAAAAAATGAGTATGACAATGCCTGCCCTCCAGACCTCAGTTTTTGTGAGGATTAAATAAGAGCATGGAAAGGGCCTTGCAAACTCTAACATGGAGTTTACATGCCAATTGCCATCACAGGGGGCACTCTGCCTATACTGTTTCTAAAACCACATTCTGTCTTTATGGGAAACACCGTATAGGGGGAGGAGAGAGGAACTATCCCTTTTTTTTCTTTTCCTGTCCAGTGTGGGACAGCAGGCAGAAGCCTGCATTTGGAGTCCAGAGCAAACCCCAGCCCTGCCTCTTGCTCCTTGGGTGAGTCACTGAACCTCACAGTGCCTCAGTTTCCCCATCTGTAAAATGTAGGGGTTGGGCTAGATCTGAGATGCCTCAAGGCTCTAGCTGGAGGAGGCTAAGGCCATGCTGGCCTGCAGAGCCCTCCCTGGGGCTTGACTGGGGTAGACGCTTGTTTACCCACGGCCATTTCCAAAATATTTTGGCATTCCCTAAAACGCCGGCACGCATTGTGTGGGCGCCCCCCTCCAGTGCCGTGGCTCTGCCCCAGAGGGCGTGGCCATTTCTCCTCCAGATGCTTCAAGACCCATTTTATGCAAGTACCAAAGAAATCTGCGCTCTTGAAGGAAAGACCCCAATGCCCCTGAATTACAACCCCCCCTTTCTAGAGCTCCTTAATGAAAAAATAAATCCACATTTCTCTAGAGCTTGCAGGCTTGCAGACCTATTTCTTCATAAGGACCCCGAGAGAAGTATTCTCTCCATTTTACAGTGGGAGGTACAGGGTCACCAAGCTGGGAAGTGCCTCAGAGCCCAGCACCCTCGCTGCTACCCCACATGGTGCTTTCCCCACAGCAGTCCTGGAGGTGGAGCACGCAGCCTGATCCCCGAGGAATAAGAGAGGGAGGGTTTGCTTACTGTCAGTCACACACTCAGTCCAGTCAGCATTAGCTTTTCTTTCTTGGACAGTGCTGCCCAAGATTAGGGCTGGGATGAGGGCCCAAAGCCCTTTCCAGCCCTCCACCATGACTGATATCCACAGTGCCTGACACATAGTAGGTATTAATAAATGTTTGTTGACTGACCAACCACTCCTGAGATAATGAAACCTTACTGTTAATTCAATAAGCATTCATTAAGCTCCAAATGCTTCCTATGTGCCAGGTGGGTAGTAGATGCTAGAGATACAAAAAAGGAAAAAAGAAAGTCCCTGCCCTCATGGAGCCAATAGTCTACTTACAGGCAGCTAGGTGAAGTGGCACAGAGAACAAATCAATCGCTAGGCTTAAAGTCAGAAAGACCCGAGTTCAATGCTGGCTACAGATACACACCTGGCTGTGTGACGTTGGGCAAATCACTTAACCTCTCTCAGACTCAGCTGAAAATGAGAAATGTGATGGTCCCTGCCTCCCAGGCTTGTTGTTAGGATCAAATGAGATTATATAAGCGTCTGGCACGTAGCAGGCACCGTACAAATGCTAGCTCCAATGGAAAATAACGTGTTTACAGATAAGTAAATGCAAAATGATTTCAAGAGGGAGCAGGTGTTCACAAAATGGGAGAGTCAGGAAAGGTCCACACAGATGAGGAAAATGAAGTTTACAGAAGCCTCCCAAAGCACAGTGAATCTGAAGAAGAGCCATTTAGAGGATGAAAGGCTCCTCTTCAAACCCCTTACTCACCAAGGGAGAAAGAACCCAGAGACAGAAGAACTTGCCTAAAGTCTTAAACCATTTGGAGGTAGATTATCTAGATATTAGACTAATACTAGACTAATAATATCTAATACTAGATATTAGACTAGTCAAACTAGATGGGAACAGGGATTAGGGGGAGAGAGCCAATGCCCCAGAAGTCCAGGGACCAACCCTGCCTGTGCCCACCTCAAGCCTATACCCAGATTCCTGTCTTTCCTTTCTTTCCTTTTCCTAAGTGGAAATGAATTTGATCGGTCCATTTGCTTTCCAAAATCTCACTTCCAAAGGAGTGTGACATTTTTCTCCTTATAGTCAAGTCCTTTCCCTAAGACCTTAGTGTGACATTCCTTCCCCATCCCCCAACTCCCAATCTCTTTGCTGTTCAGTTGTTTTTCAGTCAAGTCAGACTCTTTGTTGACCCCATTTGGGGTTTTCTTGGCAGAGATACCAGAGTGGTTTGCCATTTCCTTCCCAGCTCAAGTGAGGTCAGATTTGAACTTAGAAAGATGAGTCTTCCTGACTCCAGACCCAGAACTCCATCCGCTGCACCACTTATCCAATCCCTTTAGCCTCATAATTTTCTTTTCTTTCTTTTTTTAAAAGGCAGTTGGGGTTAAGTGACTTGCCCAGGGTTACACATCTAGTAAGTGTCAAGTGTTTGGTCTGAGGCCAGATTTGAACTCAGGTCCTCCTGACTTCAGGGCCAGTGCTCCATTCACTTCCATCTAGCTGCCCCAGCTTCATCATTTTCTAATGAGGCCAGCTAGGTAGCACAAAGGATTAAGGGCTCGACCTTGGTGTCAAGACCTGAGTTCAAATCCAGCCTCAGACACTTAGTAGCTGTTTGACCCTGAGCAAGTAACTTAATTTCATATGCCTCAGTTTCCTTATCTGTCAAATGGGGATAATAACACCTCCCTGAGTTATTGTGAGGACAAAATGAAATATTTGTAAAAGTATTTTGCAGACCTTCAGTGCTATTATTATTAATTAACATTATTAATGTCTTTTGGAAACAGGCGGCTACAATCTCCGCCAGTGGCTGTACCATTTCTTAATGTCTCCTACAAATGCGGTATGACACCCGCCCCCTGCTCCTGATGGCTTTGTCCTTTCCTAAGGCCCCACTGGAGCTCTGCATGACCCCCTCCCCTTTCTAATGTTCCCTAAGAGCTTAGTGTGACTGCCTCACACTGATGACCTGGTCCTTTGTTAAGATCCTCACGGAATGCGGTGGGACATTCCTCCCCTTCGGAACTGGGCCAGGTGCGAAGCTGCTTGGCAGGTGGGGGGGTTTAGCACAGAGCCTGGCGCATAGGAGGTGCTTGGTAAACGTTTACAGAATAACTTGGGAAAAGAGAAACAGTGGCTTGGGCTCCGAGCTACCAGAGCCCCGCTCAGCCTCGCCCTACGCTGCCCTGCCTAGCTCCCCTCTTCCCCCTCTCCCTTCTCTCTCTCTCTCTCTCTCTCTCTCTCTCTCTCTCTCTCTCTCTCTCTCTCTCTCTCTCTCTCTCTCTCTCTCTCTCTCTCTCTCTCTCTTTCTCTCTCTCTCTCTCTTCTCTCTCTCTCTCTCTCTCTTCTTCTCTCCTCTCTCTCTCTCTCTCTCTCTCTCTCTCTCTCTCTCTCTCTCTCTCTCTCTCTCTCTCTTTTTTTTGATCTGGGTTGAGCAGCAAGCCCTTTGAGGGGGCGGGGAGGGAACTGCGCTCGAAGAGCTCTCCGGGAAGGAGCTAATTCTTCCCAATGAAGCGGCTCTCCTCCCCGCCCCCACCTTCCTGGGCGCCTGGGGCTAGTGTGGGCAGGCGAGGGCTCGGTTTGCCCCGAGAACCTCACCCCGCTGCCCACCTCCGCCCTCTCCTCCAGCCTCCCCGTGTAGATTTCATCTGGAAAGGAGGGGCCCTTCCTGCTGGGTAGTCTGAGG